CCTTCCTTCCTTCCTTTTTTTGTTTTTAGCATTCCAGGTGATTCTAATGTGCAGCCAGGGCTGAGAGTCACAGATCTTAAATATAAATGACAGTGTAGCAATGCTTACAGAGTCTAAGGGAAAAGGATAAATAGTCAGGTCTGCCTGAGATTACAAACGATTTCAGAATTAATGACAGAGTCCACATATGAAAACTTCAGGGAGCAAAAGTACTCAGATAAAACCCAGGACCTTGCATAGTTTCATTTACATTTTCATTAACAAGACTGTAAATAAGACATTCTAGTCAAGAAGCTAAAAAAGGGTAAATGAACCAAAAGAAGTAGGAAGAGGAAATTAGTAAAGTTAAAAAGCAGAAACTGGTAAAATAAAAAATGGAAAATGAGTTGACCTGATAGATAAAAATACTTATTTTTTGAAATGGCCAATAAATTTCTAGCATGTCTGACAAAGAACAAAAAGGATATAACATAAGTAACAACATTGGGAATGAGGACAATTCAGAGGAATTATTACTTTTTATTTTAAGAAAGCTATGCACTGTACTGATTTCATCATTGAAGAAATTGAAAATGTTGTCAAAAGTCGATTTTCCCTAAAAGTACCGGTCTTTGAAGGTGTTATGGAAGAGTCCTGCTAACCCTGAAAGGAACCGACACCCCCTGTGTTATTAGCACTCCAGGGGTGGACTCTTGGGGAAACTCTTCCCGGCCTGTTTTACGGTCTTAGTATAACCCTTACTGCAAAGGCTGACAATGCACGAACACCGAAAACTGTGCAGCAGTCCCACCCACCAGGTGTGAAAATCCTAAATATTAGCAAATTGAGTTCAGCAATATATTAAAAGAAAAATACCCTGTAGTCAAAAAGGGTTTACTTCTGGAATTCAGGAATAATTTGAAATCAGGAAATCTACTAATGTAATGCATTATATTCATCAGTTAAAAGAGAGAGAAAAAAGATTTTCTGGGTGGGCTGAATGAGTGTTTGATAAAACTCATCGTCCATCCTAAACTATGATAGAAGGAAAGTTCTTTGTAAGTATTGATCAGAAACTAACAAGAGAATTTTACTCCATGGAAAGCACTGGAGAAATTACAGTTGAAATCGAGAGAGCTGAGGATGCTTGCTAGCACCACTGTCAGCATTGATTTGGAGGTTCCAGCAATGCAAGAAAACAGGAAAAATAAATGAGGTATAGATTTTGGATATGAAATGATGAAATTCTCATTCTCTACCAATGATATGATTGTTTACCTACAAGATTCAAGATTACTGATGAAGAAAGCTAATAGAAACAGTAAGAAATCAGCAAAGTAGCTGAATACCATATCTACAGTTTTCTTCTATACCAGTAATATCCAGTTAGGAATTACAGTTTTTTTAAAATCGCGTCCATAATGGCTGTAGCAACCATAAAATACTTAGGAATAAATCTAACAAGAAGTGAGTGAGCTTTTCTGAAGAAAAACAATAAAATTTTGCTAAAACACATAAAGCAGGTTTAAATAAATGGAGCTCCCGTGTTACTGAACTGAAAGACACAACACAAAAGCATCATTTCTTTCCAAATTAATAACTAGTTCAGTGCAATTCCAGTTAAAATCCACAATGGAATATTTTGGGTGAACTTAAATTTATTAAACATAATTATTTATTTTCTCATTTTCAAAAAGTAATAATTTAAAATCCGAGAACTCAGGAACGTAAAGTCCCCTGCCTCCCCCCTTCCCCCAGCCCCCTCCACCGAGGCACCCAGTATCATTGGTTCTTGTGTATTCTTTCAGTGATATTTTTGCATATAAAAGCAAAATTACGAAGGGGTGTGTATATATGTATTTCCTCTATTTTTTACGCAAGCAGCTGCATGTTACACCGATTGCTCTGTTCCTTGCTTTCTTCCACTTATCAATGTGTGCTGGAGATTATTCCATAGCAATACCTGAAAAGCTCTCCATTCTCAACGAAGTGATTTTAAAGTTCACTTGGAAGACTAAATGCACGAGAATATCCAAGATAATTTGAAAAGGAAGGATAATGAAGGAAAATTGTCCTATCAGGTATCAAAACACCATATCGCTCTATAGCGGTTAAGACAGAATGGTGCTGGAAGGAGCCCAGACAAGCCGAGCAATGGAGCAGAGCAGAGTTCCGGGAGAGTCACTTGGGCACTCAGCTGTTTGCTGCAAATTACAGAAAGGGGCAGGTCGAATCTTTAAATCACTAAATATTTTGTGGTCATTTGGCCATCTGGAAATAAATGCCTAGATCCCTATTTCGCACTATACAAAAAACAAGTTCCAGGTACAGGAAAGATTTAAGAAAATCACAAAAGCATTAATAAGAATAGATAAGATCATTTCTTTTATAATCTTGGGATGAGGAAGGTCTTTGTAAGTGTGGCATGAAGTACGGAAGCCAGAGAGGAGGAGTCAGACAGGTCTGATCATATAAAAACATAAAACTTATCTGTCAAGAAGTGTGATAAAGTTAAAAGACAAACACAAATGGGAAAAAAAAAACATTGAAACATCTGTGACAACATCCATATCTTCTGTTTTAGTGTTCCATTGCTGGGTAACAAATTACCACAAATGTAGGGACTTGAGCCGCATTTATCTATTTGCTCACAGTTCTCTAGGTCAGAAGTCCAGCGTGGCTGACTGGGGCTCCACTTGGGGCAGCGCAAAGCTGAACTCAGGTGGTGGTTTACAGTTCTCTCAGGAAGATCTGGAGAAAATCCACTTCCGCATTCATTTGGTTGGCGAAATTCATCTCCTTGGAGTTGTAGGACTGAGGTCTTGCTTTCTCACTGTCAGCTGGGGTCCCTCTCAGCGCCCGGAGGCCACCCACATTCGTTGCCGTATGGCGCCTCTATCTTCAAGCCAGCAATGGAGAATTTGCCCTTGGTCAAAGCCCTTTCACCCTGTGAATCTCTCCAACTTCCTTTTTTGCCACCAGCCAGAGAAAAACTCTGCTCTTAAAAGGCTCACCTGCTTAGGTCAGGCCCACTTGGTAACTCCCCTTTTGCCGTGTAATGTAACATGATCACAGGAGTAACACTGGGGGCAAAGGCCATGGGAGCCATTTTTAAATTCTGCCCACCCTGTCTTTATTCCATAAAGAGCTCTTAGAAGCCAATCAGTGAAAGACGACTCTCCCGGGAGAAGTATGGCCCATGATATGAGCAGGCGATTTGGAGAAGGAAAAAGACAACCGGTCATTAAAACTATGAAAGTAGATTTAACTTCACTAATATTAAAAGACTGCAAATTAAAGAGAATATATGAAAATTTGACTTTTAGTTACTCAACCAGCGAAGAAGAAAAGAGGGCTTGAGCTTAGGGCCCTTAGGGAAGCATGGCCGTGCACTCTCGCACATTTAGGTGGGAGGCTGCATAGTCAGCTCAGGCTGCCATGTGAAGTGCCACAGACTGGGCAGCTCCCACAAGAGGTGTTTTGTTTTCTCGCAGTCTGGAGTCTGGAGGTCCGAGATCAAGGTGTGGGCGGGATGGGTTCCTCCTGAGGCCTCTCGCCTTGGTTTGTAGACAGCTGCCTTCTCCCTGTGTCCTCACACCATCTTCCTTCTGTGCGTGTCTGCGTGCTGATCTCCTCTTCCCATGAGGACACCAGTCCTAGTGGATCAGGGCCCACCCTACTGACCCCGTTTTACCTTATTCACCTCTTTAAAGGCCCACTCTCCAAATACAGTCCCCACCCCCCGCCACCCGAGACCACTCTTTCTACAAGACCTCCTGCCTCATTTCTCCCCCTCCCCTCCTCTCTCCTCCCCTATAATTCTTACCCACGCAGGAGCCAGAGAATTCTCTAGTGTTCGAATTTTTGCAATCATCTTGGATGTAAAACATTTTTTTTTGGAGTTTAGAGTATATCCCTCAAGAACACCCGCCTCCAAGCCGACGTCCCCCGGCAGCCTTTTGGTCTATAAATCGATTTTCTGTTCGGATCTATCCACTGAGAAAGGACCACTCTATGCAAATGAGCAGTGACTGACTGAGGCCTAGCCCGTAAATAAACTTCTAGCTTTATGAATCAGTCCCATGTGAGTTTTGTTAAAAGGAGTCAATTCCTCAGTGAGTGGTCTCCTCTGAGCGCACGGACAAAAATCCATTCTCTGACACCTTGTTGGGAGTGAAAAGTGCTGCCCCTGCTGGCCGGGCCATGGGCCAGCCTTCGTCCTTCTGGCTTGTGCCCCACGTGGCCATTTCAGTGCCAGGGGCTTCCGTGGAGCTTCAGGCTCTGGTTTCCTCCTAGGGGTTTAGGACTCTACCCAAGACTGCTAACCCCTAACTGGTAGGAAATCTGCAAGATTAACAGGGAGCTGTGTAACCTGACACTATTTCATTGTGTCCACAGACAGAGGGAGGATCTCAACTATGGTGGGAAACGGAGCAGCTTGTCACAATTTGTGGGCATAGATTACATATATTTTGGTTTCTCCAATTAGATTGTAAGGTCTTTGATGGCAAAGTCTGGGTCTTTGTAGTTTAAAAGCAGTTTCCCAGTCTCACCCTACAATGGCAGGAAGGGTGCTGTTTCCCATCCCTTCTGGGGCGTCAGGCCACATGAAGACGTGTGTAGGATGATGGCACAGCCTTCCCCGCTTTCTCCCCCAGTGGCAGCTCTGCAAGCCGAGATGGAGAACCTGGCCCTGCATCTCTTCTACGTGCAGAACATCAACCAGGACGTGCGCGATGACATCCTCGTGATGAAGCAAGTTGTGAAGAAGTCCACAGTGGAGCAGATGAGAGCCGAGACGGAGAAGAAGAAGCAGGTATTCTGCACATCTGACCCACATTTAACTATCGCTAAACTTTTGATTGTCCAGAAGGCACCTAGTTTTGCCTCTTGTGTGAATACTGCAGTCCGGAGAGGCCGTGGCCAGTCCTGGGGTCACTGACTTGGGTCAGCGGTTGGTGGAGAATTGTCCTTGAGGTGCCGACGTGTCATTTTGTTTTCCAGGATCTGATCGTGGACCAGCTCACCACCCGAGCCAACCAGCTGGAAGAACAAATCGCCCTGTTTGAGGCTCAGTACTGTGCCCAGGCCGAGGACACCCGGATTCTCAGGAAAGCAGTGAGCGAGGTAAGAGGGACACCAGCAGGGCTCATGTAGAAACACAGAAACACCCATTTAGCACCCACCACATGGTGCCCAGACAGTGCCCACGTGCTTCTTGAGTGAATAGCTAAGCCCCCAATTAGCCGGCAAGCTGGCTGCACAGCTGTGCCTCTCCATTAGCATCTCAGAGCATCTGGCTGACCCATGGTGGGCACGCAGAAGATACCGACTAAGTGATGGCCAGTATTTTTATTCCTACTGTAGCCAATGATAGGCCGAAAGGCCTCCCAGGAGTTCCGACGTTCTGTTCTGCTTGCTGGCAGATCCTGAGCAAGCTCTTTAGTGACAGTGGGCCTCTTCCAGGGGGGCCAACGTCTCTCTAACGATTCTCAGCCCGTGAGCAGCCAGCACCCCTGGGCAGTGCCCACATCCCCACTCCATGTGGAGTAAGGGAGGAGATGAGCGCAATGCAGCACAAAATCAGTGGCGGACACTAGAAACCAAAGTTGCTGTGACGTTTTAAAAGATCTGTGAATCACCATCTGCGTTCATGTAGGCAGGAGGAGATGAGGAAAACAATGCACTGTTACTGAAGGAACGAAAAAAGGGCTTGGACGAATGGACAAACACATCTGGGTCCATATGGGAAAGCTGCCAAGGCTCTCCAACCTGTGAAATTGTTATAATCTAGAATGTGTTCTAATCAGAATCTCAAAAAAACAAAAAACAGTTTTTTTAGTTAGCAAAGCAATTCTTAAGTTTATCTGAAAAAAAATTCAGAAGACTAGCCAAGACTTGTTTTGGAAGGGAAGGTTCACGAAGGGTGATCCGCTGTCCCAGTTTGCTTGGAACAGAGGGCTTTCCTGAGGCGTGGGACTTTCCCTGCTGAAACCGGGAGAGGCCTGGGCAAACCAGGGTGGTGGGTCACCCCAGCACACCCTCCCAAAATATACTGGAAGGCCCTAGAGGCTAAAAGTATGTGTTACTGGAATCCGGGTAGGCCAGGGGAGCCTGTGAGAGAGCCAGAAACAAGCAGACGTTTATATAAAAATATAGCAGATTATAAATTAGTGGAGAACAAGTGAATTATGTGTCCAATGATGTTGGGACATTTGGCTAATCATTTGGGGAAAAAAATTAAATATTTTTCTCATACCACACACTAAAATAAATTCCATATGGGATCAAGTATTTAAATGGGGCAAATGTACCGAAGAAAATAAAAAAAAATATTTCTAAAATCCTGGGTTGGAGAGGCCTTTCTAAGCATAACACCTGAGGCAGACACTTTAAAGGAAAAGATGAGAAGGTGGACCACTCCAGCCAGAGCTTCTGCAGGTTAAGGACGCCATCAACAAGATGAAAAGACAGGAGACACACCAGGAAAGAGAGGCTTTCAACTATGAGGGAGTTTGGTGGTGTGAAGAGGTGTTGAAAATCAATGAGAAAGATCCATACACGTTTCGACTGTACGCTGATCGTGTACACGATGCTGTCAAGTTTTCTTCTGTTACGTCCTCTTGTGCCTTCCACCTCTCCCTTGGTGTGTCTCCACCGGGGCGGGGTGGGGGGTGGGGGCCGCCCCATGGTTGTTCATTCTGCATTCCCACGCTCAGAACTGCATGTGGCCCATGGCAGTGCACCCTAGACATTCTAGAATGAACAAATGAGGAAGCGATGATAGAGAAGTGCACGACTGGGAGTTCTCCCACCGCGTTGGCAAAGATGAAAAAAGGCAGAGGGAATGGGCCTCCCATGCTGGTAGTGAAAATGCAGATTGGTCTTGATCAATTCTTTATCCAAAGACAATATTATAATTCGTATGGGGGAGGAAACTCCCCTGCCCTCTCCCAAAATATCACTGCTTGGACTTCATTCCAAGGAAACTACTAAAGATGCATGCAAGTAAAATTTTGTACGTTGAAAACTGCACAAACAGAATGGATAGAGAGTCACTGGGAACACGGTGTTGTGTGTAATAGTAAAGAAGAGTGCCAGGCAGAGGGCATTGGGTAAACACCTTAGGCTACATCCGTGTGGTGGAAGACTATCCCGCGACAAAGTAGATGCTGCTGATGTGGAAACCCATTCATGATATGCTAATTTTTAACTCTAGGTTACAAAACAACATTTAGAGTATGATTCCGTACACATTCACACACACGCAGAGGAAGATAATACCGGGCTGTTAGAAATGGTTAACTCTAAGTTAAGGAATTATTGTTAATTTATTTTCTTTTTGCTTATTTGCATATTCTGATTTGCATAGAATGATCACTTATTTTTTTGTTAATGAGGAGGGTGTTTAAAACATATAAAGACTGAATTCTGCCCTGATCTTTGATCTCAGCCTGCACTTTGGTCAGCAAGCCCTTTTCTGGCAGCCTCGGGGAGCACCATGGGGAGGTGCCCGCCTCTGGCTGGCACGGCCCCACACAGCCCAGCCTGGGGAGGGGACCAGTGGGTTTTGGTGCCTGCTGCCTTGGCCAGGAACTTTGGGCAGTGCTCAGCCTGCTCCACGGCACACAGCAGCCTCTTCAGTTAACAACTTACTCAAATATGGAAATGTCTCACTAATTGTAGTACAATTAATTCATGCATTTTATGCTCTATAGTAGTGATGAATAGATGATATAGCCCTCACAGTTGAGAGTGGCGTCCCCAGGGGGGACGCTTCCTTCACGCCCAGTGCTGCCCTCTTATCATCCCTGTGGGTGTTCGAGTCCTCTCTGACGCCCTCCAGCATCTACCGAGCGTGTCTGGAGCGTCACCGTGAGCAGGCATTTCTGGGACTCCACATCGACATGAAGGCGCTTGTGACATAATGCCGGTCTCAGCCGAGCCCCCTCTTGGTGCCCCTCCTGTAATTCAGCTCTCTGCCGGCTCGCTAACAGTGCAGTGATTCCATTGGGAATGATCCGTCAGGACTTTCTGAGTGCCACTCAAAACAGCGCGTGTGACGGCTAAGAACGCGCTAGGCATACAGGCGTCACCTCATTTGACCCCACAGCCCCAGGATGTGGTACTGTTACTCTTATCCATGTCACAGCCAAGGACACTGGGGACAGGGAGGCGAGGTGGCCTGCCTACTGCTGAGCTCTCAGCCCAGGTAGCCAGTCCCTACCCTGCACCCCAAACATAAATAAACCCTCCTTGCCTTTGGAGTAAATTCCTGAGCCTTCCACCTAATTTCAAGCCCCTCTCCACATGGGCCCATGCCCTTATCCTAGTTGGTCCCCACCGCCGCCCCTGCGTTCTGGGACATCCAGCCTCAGCTCATCCTGTCCCCACCTCTGAAACATGTTGTCCACCCCACCCTCCTGCCCGTCCAGCTCTGCCTCCTCATCCCCAGTCTAGGTAGGCCCTGCTTCTCTCAAGCGGATGCTCACATCCAGCCACGTCAGTCTCCAGACAAATGTCCTCCGTCCAGCATAGGCTCCTTAAAGGAAGGGGTGCCGGGCACCAAGGCTGCGCCCATACTGTGTGACCTGAAACTGCCATCTGTGGATGGGAGTCATCCTGAGAAGCGACGACCTCCGCTCACCCCTGCGTTTGGGGTCTGGCGGGGGGCATCAGCCAGCCGCCTTCTCCTCGCTCCCTGGGCACCAAGCACCATGGGACCCTGAGCAAAGGCGCAGACGGGTGTGCCAGGAGTCTTTAGAGCTGTGTTTGGTTTCATGGTTATCCTTTAGCTGGTGCACGATAAAGAAGAGCAAGGGTCCCGTAGGGAAGGAGCTGATTTGGGAAAGTCGGGGCTCTCCCACGTTCTTTTGGGGCTTTGAGCAAAATAAAACAAGACCAACGTGCACATAACCCCGACTCTCCACTGCAGGCCTGCACGGAAATAGACGCCATCAACATGGAGAAAAAGTGCATCCTGCAGCAGTGGGCCACCAGCCTGGTGGGTATGAAGCATCGTGACGAGGCTCACAGGACCATCCAGGAGGCGTTCAGGTGTGGGCATCCAGATGGGCCTCTCCCACCCTTCTGGTGTGCCACAGTGGTGGGGGCCGGGTGGCTCAGGGGACAGGCAGGACCTGGGTGAGCGAGGCCAGAGCTTGTGAGACGTGTGGGAGTGCAGAGGCGGGCGGGGGCGTGGACCACGTACTCCCCCCTCGTCCCAGGTGAGCGCGGAGCACAAAGGGTGCACCTGCAGCCCTGCAGCCTGCAGCCGCTTCCGTCCTGAAAGCTCCCGCATTGTTCGCCCAGATCTCAGCGTTTCTTAAGTCCTTTCACACTTTCCGTGACACCGGGAGCAGCAAAGCTTTCACACTCAGATTTCCTGGGAGGATTAAGGAGAAACAAGGAGAGAGAGAGAGAGAGAGAGGGAGCGCGGTATTTATCTTTGGGAGATAAAGGTGTCCCTTTGATGCTCAGTTTCACCACCTGTGTGCAGAAACTCCATCCCTTCGCGATTGTTCTGCCGAGGGCTGAGTTCCAACCAAAATCCTGTGTTAATCTACCCTCGAAGGGGAAGGAAGAGGCCCCTTCCTCCTGTCCCCCTCCGTCACTTCTAGGGGTGGGCGTGTGGCTTGAGCCAGGGGTTGGGGGGTGGGCTTCCAGGCACAGTGCCACCTTAATTCCCCAAGCTGCCAGGGTGATCGGGACCCAGATGTGATGCCCGGGTTCTGGAGGGGCCTTCAGCTCGGCCTCCACTTCTGGCGCCCGGCACACGGCCTGGCAGAGGGCAGGCGCAGCCTTGCTGAACGCGGGAGTGAGCAAATGAACGAATCGCTTTGTCAGTCCCGTAGCATGGTTTCTGGTAGTCGTACAACTAGGAGATACTTTTCCTTCTTGGTCCTGTGATTAAAAAACATACAAACAAAAAACCGAGGCACATATGATTGTTTTTAAAACAAGACGTATTTACATGAATAATGCTGGATGAAAAGTACTCATTTCCTGGGGCCGGCCCAGTGGTGGGGTGGTTGAGTTCACATGCTCTGCTTCAGAGGCCCAGGGTTCGCAGGATCGGATCCCGGACAGGGACCTACACACGGCTCATCAAGCCATGCTGTGGCGGCGTCCCAAATACAAAAAAGAGGAAGAAGGGCACAGAGCTTAGCTCAGGGCCAAGCTTCCTCACCCACACACAAAAAAAAGTACTCGTTTCCTTCACCTCCCTGAGTCAACAATATAAAGCCAAAGGGGGAATTGTGGAATTGTCCAGGTAAATTCTGGCTGAAGATCTGCTTTCCCTTTAAATACGCAAGTAGAGGAGCCAGGGCCGGCTGCGGGGCAGCTGGGAGGGGGACACTTAGGCTTCTCCCTGCACTGCCCTGCCCTCGCTGTGCTCCAGAGTGTGTGGTGCGGGAGAGACCTTGGCCGGCTGCGGCGGGGCTGGGAGGGGGACACTTGGGCTTCTCCCTGCACTGCCCTGCCCTCCCTGTTCTCCAGAGTGTGTGGTGCGGGAGAGACCTTGGCCGGCTCCGGGGGTGCTGGGAGGGGGACACTTGGGATTCTCCCTGCGCTGCCCTGCCCTCCCTGTGCTCCAGAGTGTGTGGTGCGGGAGAGACCTTGGCCAGCTCGGCAGCTTCTCCTTCTGCCCGACGTGGACAGTGTGTCAGGTCAGGGCTGAGGTTCTCGTGGCCTGTGTTCCCCCGCAGGGACCCTGGGGGACAGGCACCACCTCCAGGACCCTCCTGCTCCTGTGTCTCCAGGACTAACCCAGAGTGTCCCCCCCAACTCCTCCTAGCCTAGTCCCCAGGCTATTTCTGCGTGTCTCCGGAGATGTGGCTTGGCCACCCTCCTTTTTCTTTTTTCTTAAATTTCATCTTTTGGATAGATAATAGGGCCACTTGGTCTTTGTAGGTCTCCCTCCCTCCCCCATCCTGCATCGCCCAGTGTCCCTTCCCACAAACAATGCTCCTGGTTTCCTGGGTCTCCTTCTCTAGACATTCTGTGCAGTCATAAGAAAACACAGGTATCCATACTCTTCGTTTTCTCTGTTGCACTGAGGTAGCATGCTGTATACACTGTTCTGTGTCTTGCTTTTTTCATTCAACAACATGTCCTGGAGGTCTTTCCAAATCAAAAGACAAAGACCATTCACGTCTTCTTTTTCCACTGCATAATGTGCCGTTGGGCCGATTCTGGAGGGCAGGTTCCCACAGGGGCGTTCAGGTCATTCACACTCCTTCTCTATTGCACTGTTGCCATACATACCATGTCCAGGGTTATTATGTTTTATATTATGTATATAATTACATTATATTCCCTATCAAGCCAGGAAGCTCTGGGTCCAGGGTGTGCACGTGCGCTGGTCTGGCATTTATTTCCCAATAAGGCTGTGACAGTCACACCAGCGGTGTTCCAAAGTCCCGTGACAACTCAGCATGTTATCACACTTTTGGATCGTGCCAACCTGACTGATAAGAAAAATGATATCATGTTTTTAAAATATGCATGCATGGAATGTTCAGTGAATATTTTAGCAAAATACACACACACACACATGTCCCCCTAACAACAGGTAATAGAGCTCTGGTTGTGGCTCAGCTGTGCTTTCCGCAACTCCACACGTCAGCCGCAGAGGAGTGAGGCCCGCTTTACAGCATGATGACTGCACAGGAGACTGGGAGATGTGCATTATAATTGCAGGGATGTGCCGTCTTCACCCAGAGAGGTTTGAAGAAGGAAGTCTGAGCCTGTTTAACAGAAGGTCAGGGCATTGCAAAAATAAAAGGTTGCATTGCTGATGACTTCCAGGCCAGTTCAGCGCCTGAACTAAACACCCAATACCAATTCATCGATGTTCAAGTATGTAGACTACTTTAAAAAATGGGCGAAAATGGTGATGTTCTTGGTTGATGCTTAGGAAGTTGGACATGAGGCCGGTGCCTGGTAGCTCTCTGGGCAGTGTGGGGTCCCCGTGGACCAGGCCCCGCAGGCTCTGAAGCCGGGTTTTGCCATCATGTCGAGCATGCATCTGGTAAATGCTCGCCAGAGGCTGACATACAAACGAGAATGCCAGTTGACTCATGTCCACCATGAAATGTAAGCGCCAAAGGACCCGGTTCGCGATCCTCAGACTAGCAGATGCTTGTCTGTGGAAATGACACAGGACCACTGCTCAGGGAACGGCTGAGCGCCAGAAACGATGAGGCACCAGGCCGCCTGCCTCCTGCCCGTTGCCCCGACTGCCAGGTGGCCTGTCCATGCAGGAGCAGGTGCCCCGCAGCCCTCCCAGGGCGCTTGCCTTGTGCCACTTGGGCATCCTCCGTCACCGTGTGGCCTTTTCCGTCACCTACCCTTGATGCTCATGTGATTTTTCCAGATAACTCCATGTCCTCAATTAGGTTCCAGCCAAATCTTGTACTTTCTCTTTTTCATTCTCTTTATGTTTCTTCATCTAATGTCAGTTCCACAATTTAAAACTCTGAGAAGACAATCTGACCTCCCCATTCTTTGGGTGGAGGGGAGCACGATAATATTGCCCCCACGTGTCTCATACATAAGCTGCAAGTTTAGCTGAAAGCCTGTGCGTTTCTTGTCAGCTTTTTCTTCTGTCTTCTCTGTTTCGCAGGGGCATCGCACACTGACGTAAAAATACAGGGGAAACTTGACACATGCAGTTCCGCTTCGGTTAAATTGGTCCAGAGTGCCGACGCAAGAAAGCTGAAGGGTTGGCCTCACATCTTTTGGCTTCCTTCTCCCTGAATCCTAACAGTGGCAGAGACGGCTCTTGTGGGCAGTTCCCTTCAGCATGGAGTGTGAGGACAGTCCGCCCGCCAGAGCAAGGGAGAGCAGGGTGAGGGTTGACAGTCACCGTGGGAGAGCCTCGGTCCTTTCTTCTGCTCGGCCTTGAACAGGGTCAGACGTGGAATCCAGAGCAAGGCAGTGGCAGCCCCTGATCCAATTGCATTTTTCCATTGTGACAGGCCATGCTCAGCTTGGTGTGGCCTGGCCCCGCAGACCCTCAGAGGGCAGCTCTGTCGTTGCCCGCATTTGCAGAAGAGGAGGGAGGAGTGGAAGGCAGTGTGGGCTGAGCTGGATGTGGACACTGCCACGGCGACCACAGTGGGCCTCCCTCGGGCTTGGGGTCTGGTGGGCAGCGCCCCATCACTGCCAACATCGCCTACACCCATGGACACCTGCAACCCTGGAGACCAGGGCCACAGTGTGACCACAAAGAGCACCTGGTTAAAAATGTGTCCCCGGACACAGGGCATGGGCCTTGGGGATTGCTCTAACGACTCGTCATGTCCTGTCCCTCCCTCCCACTCAGGGAGGCAGAATGGCTGTCCCTCCACCGAGCTCCCCGAGGCTGGAGGGCACATCCCATTGATTGGACCCGGCAGCCCTGGGTGAAGCCAGCCAGGCTGGTCCCCACCACACTGGCGCTTTAAAGATAGCAGCTACCTGTCGAATCTTTGTAACATTAGTGACAAAGTCACACAAAAGTGGGTCCCAACCACAGGTGAATATTCGTGATTGAGACTGCAGCAAACACTGAAAGTCATGCATTCAAAGGAAACGGGTCATTTTTGTGTGAAACTTCTCCAGACAAGCCAGAAAACACAAAGACTGCACTGGGCTTAACTGGTGCGGGAGGGGGGGTGCCCCAACTAGAACTTACACTCCGTTAGGGATAAGGCCACGAACAGGCCCTCTTGCACCCTGTTATCTGCCTTTGTCTTTTTGTTGTTGTTGTTGTTTTGTTTTGTTTTTTTGTGAGGAAGATCAGCCCTGAGCTAACATCCGTGCTAATCCACCTCTTTTTTTGCTGAGGAAGACCGGCTCTGAGCTAACATCTATTGGCAATCTTCCTCCTTTTTTTCCCCCAAAGCCCCAGTAGATAGTTGCATGTCATAGCTGCACATCCTTCTAGTTGCTGTATGTGGGACACGGCCCCAGCATGGTCAGAGAGGCGGTGCGTCGGTGCGCGCCCGGGATCCGAACCCGGGCCGCCCGTAGCGGAGCGCGCGCACTTAACCACTAAGCCACGGGGTCGGCCCTATCTGCCTTGGTCTTATCTGCCGACAGGAAACCCATGGGGCAGACGGGCCGCTCTGCGGGATGTTGACCTATCGCTGTGTGTCCTTGAGATCCCGTAACAGGCTCCCTCTCAGTCCTCAAATTGATCAGGCCCAGCACCTGGGCCAGATTCTCAGTTCTACCAATTGTCTGTTTCCTTTATTCTCTATGGGTATCTATTATTCAAGGAAGTTTTTAAAGTGTGTTTTTTTAAAAATAATTTTTAGCAAGGGTAAATAATCACATTACAAGAAATTTGAAAAACAGAGAAAATGGTTTAAGAATACCAGTCTTTCTCCTTTTGTGACAATGACAATTTATTAGCATTTTGGGCACTTGCAGGCGTCTCTTTCCCCCGTGTATATGTTTTGCCGAGTGTTCACACTTTTGTCTTACAGTTTGTAACTCTGTCTTTTTAAATTGGGCGTCTTATTTTCATTGTCAAATTTGAGACATTTATGAGACTGCTACTTCCTAAAAAAGAAAATGAGTAACTTTTTAAAGTCGGGTTTATTGAGGATAATTTATGTACAAAAGTTATCCTTTTTGAGTGCACAGTACAGTGAGTTCTGGCAAATGGACAGAAGACTGACCAGGTACATCAAGATGTCAGGCATTCCTTCATCCCGGGGTCAGCAGCTCTCCCAGCTCCAGCCCCCAGCAAACACTGGTCTGCTTTCTGTCCCTAGAGTTTTGTCATTTCCAGAACGTCACATAAGTGGAATCATGCAGTGTGTAGCTCTTCTCATCTGGCTGCTCTCACTGAGCATAGTGCTCTGAGAGTCCTCCTGATGCTGCAAGATCGGCACTTGGTTCCTTCTTGTTGCTGAATAGTATTCCGTCACATGGATACATTAGACCATATTTATCTGCACCAGTTGATGCACTTGTGGTTGTTTCCGGTTTGGGGATATCATGCATAAAGCTGCTGTGACATTCTGGACAGGTCTTAGTGTGGACATTTGTTTCCATTTCTCCTGGGTAAACACCTAGGCATGGGGATTGCTGGTCAGTGTATATTTTACTTTTTAACAAACTGCCAAAGTGTTTTCCAAGGCGAGTTGTTCCGTTTTCCATTCCCACCAGCAGTGTCCGAGATTCCCAGTGACTCCCATCCTCCCCAACACTTAATAGTGTCGTCATTTTAATTTTAGCCATTAAACTCAGCCATTAGTAGATATGTCATGGTGTCACATTGAGGTTTTAATTTGCATTTCCCTAATGACTAATGATGGTGAGCATCTTTTCATGTGCTTGTTTATCATCCATGTATCTTCTCTGCTAAAGAGTCTTCTGATCATTTTTAAATTGAGTGGTTTGGCCCCGTGGCTTAGCGGTTAAGTGCACGCACTCCGCTACTGGTGGCCTGGGTTCGGATCCCGGCGCGCACCGACGCACCACTTCTCCGGCCATGCTGAGGCCGCGTCCCACATAACAGCAACTAGAAGGATGTGCAGCTATGACGTACAACTATCTACTGGAGCTTTGGGGGAAAAATAAATAAATAAAATTATTAAAAAATAAATAAATAAATAAATAAATTGAGTGGTTTATCTTATTACTGAGTTATAACAGTTCTTGTATATTCTGGATACAAATCCTTTACCAGATGTGTATTTTGAAAATATTTTTCTCCATGTCTGGCTTGTCTTTTCATTCTCTCAGCAGTGTCTTTTGAAGAGCAGAAGTTTTAAATTTTGATGAAGTCCAATTTATTCATTTTTTTTTCTTCCATAGTTCATGCTTTTTATGGCCTCTCAAGAAATCTTTGCCTGACCCTAACCTGGTCACAAAGATTTTCTCCTGTTTTCTGCTAAAGTTTTATCATTTTAGCACTTCCATTTAGGTATATGACCCATTTCAAGTTATTTTTTGTTATGGTGTGAGGTCCAGGTTCAGTCTTTTTTGCACATCTCTCTCCAGTTGCCTGGCACCACTGTTGAAAAGATCATCCTTTCTCCATGGAATACTGTGGCACCTTTGTCAGAAAGGAATCGGCCGTACGTGCATGTGTTGGTGTGTGGCTGTTTGTGGACTCTGTTCTATTCCGCTGATCTGTTTGTCTTTTCTTTCACCAATGCCACATTGTCTTGATAACTACAGCTTTATAGAAGGTCTTAAAATCAGATAGTGGGAGTCTTTGTTCTTCTTTTACAAAATTATTTTGGCAATTCTAGGTCCTTTAAATTTCCATTTAAATTTTAGAATTAACTTGTCAATTTCTGGGGGGAAAATGCCTACTGGGATCGTGGTTGGAACCGCATTGAGTTTACTGGTCTGTTTGGGAAGAATTGACACCTTAGCAATAGTGCATCTGCTGCTGAATGGATATGGCATATCTCTCCAGTATCTTTTTTTTTATGTGTACAGATGTTTATTGCTACACTGGTGAAATTAGAAAAACACCAGAAAACTGGAAAAAGCCTAAATGTATATCAATGAGGATGATTAAATTATGGCACGTTCATCATTTAGAATACTATCTGGTCATTGAAAAGAATTAAGGAGATTTCTGTGTCCACTGATATTGAACATCACTCAGATATAGCACAAGAAAAAGTAAGGTGCAGAATAGTACTACCACTTGTAATTTTTTAAGTGGAGAGAAGTACATATACACACACAAGCATAATGCTTACATACGTGTGAAATATATCTGGAAAGACATTTAAGAGATAGTAACAAGTTGCTGGGAAAAGATAATTGAAGGCTTGAGAATAGATGTGAGAAAAATATGGAAGGTATTATTCTAGTTCAAGAAGAAAGCACTTTTTGAATTTTTGAATAACAACTTATTCAAGGGATAAGATACTATAAGGCATGTTTGAGTTACAGCAGGACAGCTCAGAATGAAGGGAAAAGATGTCTCACACACACACAAAAATTCAAATTCCATTATCCAGTATCTGGTTTTTGTTTTTGTTTCTGTTTTTTTTTGGTGAAGAAGATTGGCTCTGAGTTAACATCTGTTGCCAGTCCTCCTCTTTTTGCTGAGGAAGATTAGCTCTGAGCTAACTTCTGTGCCCATCTTCCTCTATTTTTTTATATGTGGGACGCCACCTCACATGGCTTGACGAGCAGTGCGTATGTCCGCGCCCAGGATTCAAACCTGCGAACCCCGGGCCACCGAAGCGGAGGGCACGAACTTAACCACTACTCCCCTGGGCTGGCCCACGGTATCTGTATTTTTAACTCGACATTAATTATAGGTATTTCCATGGCCAGGACGCTGAAGGAAAATAATAGAATTTGAAGTGACACCCACCAAGGGTTTCTCGCAGCCACACCATTACTGTGGCCGTGAGCAAGCTTCTCAAGTGCTCTGAGCGTCAGCATTCACATTGATAAAACTGGAATAACAACATTTCCTTTCCGGGATTATTGTTGTGACTACAGAGGATGGGCAGGTGACAACCCCCCAGCACAGCACCCGAGTCCAGGCATTAGCTTCCTTCCCCTTCCTTCTCCCATAATCATAATATTAAAAGAGTTTTAGCTTAGGCTTGAAATAGGTAATATTAATATATTAGAAAATAGCAGTCAAGATTTGGCTACTATTGTAAGAGTCGGTTTCCTAATTTATTTCTCTCCGCTCAGTGAGCTTCCTGAGTGAGGTACCACCTCGTGCACTGATGTCTTTTACTCTCTCAATTTCGGCAGCGAATACCAGCATCAAGTCAAGTCCATCGACAGCGAGATCGAAGCCTATAAGAAATCCATCGTGAAGGAGGAAGAAAAGAACGAGAAGCTGGCGAGCATCCTGAACCGAGCGGAGTCGGACGCCAGCCTGATGCAGAAACTGACCACGCAGTGCCTGACCAAGCAGGAGGCCCTGCAGAGCGAGTTCCACACCTACAGGCTCATGCTGCAGGACACAGAGGACGAGCTGGGCAAGGCCCACGTGGTACGACTGCGGCCCCCACCCAGCAGGGCATGCCTCCCGGGCCTCCTTAACGACGTCCACCCTCCCACTCTTCCTTTCCAGGAGTGCGCGGCGGCCATGAGTGAGTTGCAGACCCTCCAGCAGACCACCCAGCAGGAGCTGGAGCTGAGGAGGCAGATGGACACCTCCACTGTGGAGAAGCTGCAGGAGCACACAACCTCCAACAAGATGACCAAGTGCTTCCACCAGCTCATCCTGAAGGTCCAGAAGGAGAAGACCAACCTGGTATGCCACCACCTCGCACTGCAGCCGCGAGGGACAGCGGGCGCGGGGAGGTGGCGCTCGGAGGGAACAGACCACACACAGCGGAATCAGTGTGAGCGAGGGGGCCTCAGCGTGTCTAGTTGCTTTTCATTGTTTTTGTTTCTTTGTTTTGTGAGGAGATCAGCCCTGTGCTAACATCTGCCAATCCTCCTCTTTTTTTGCTGAGGAAGACTGGCCCTGGGCTAACACCGTGCCCATCTTCCTCCACTTTATATGGGACACCGCCACAGCATGGCTTGACAAGCAGTGCCTCGGTGCGCACCCGGGATCCAAACCGGCGAACCCCGGGCCGCTGCAGCGGAGCGCGCGCACTTAACCGCTTGCGCCACCGGGCCGGCCCGCTTTTCATTTTTTCTAGTAAAAGCAATGCATTTTCATGTAGAAAACCTGAAATACAGAAAGGAAATAAAGAAGAAAATAAGGCAGCTATAATCCCACTATCCAGAGATAATCTCGTCTAAAATTTTGGTACATTTCCTTCTGGAAATTTTTCTAAATGCACATGCTCATACTCACACATGCCAACAAACACATGCACACACACAAACACACTTGTATATCCACGTCCCCGTGCACACACCTTAGCAAACACACTCATGTGCACACGCACTCACACATACAAACACACTAATGTGCACGCACTCATGCAGACACACACGTGCACGCACACCTTAAACAACATAGGACTCTTGTTATATATCAGTTTTTAAGTTCATTCTAATCCATTTTTCATTAATTTTACTGAAATATGACACAGAGAGAAAAGTGTACAAATGATGTGTGGGAGTTGAAGAATTTTTCACTATGTATATAGTGTTTTATTTTGCTTTATTGGCCATATTGAACATAACATTTTCCATTAAATAGTCTTCAAAAACCTACATTTTTGTTTCTACATAACATTGCATCATACGAATGTATGTATGTTGTTTAACGATTCTCTCGTTAGACCCTTCAGGTGGTTCTAGGTTTTAAATATTGTAAATAACTCAGCACTGACCATGCTTGCTCGTACATCTTTGTCCACATGTATGAGGATAAATTGCTGCAGCAGAAGCCCTGGGTCGAAGGGTAGAAGTGTTTTCAATGGATTATGGAGCCTCTGCTCGCCAAGGTTTGGCCTTGGGGTCCTTGAGTGTGATTTGAGCTTCCTGGCCTGGGGACCCCCACAGTGAGCTCTCTCTTGCTCTCCCAAGGGTCTTGCTTTACTCTGTGCTGTGCTGGGGGTCTCTGTGTCCTCAGAAAGCAATTCCTTACTTGAATTGTTTCTTCTTTGCCTCTTCCCATGGTGTGACCCCCGTTGGAGTCCTCTGCCTCAGCAGGCCCCTTTGGAGGACCCCACGGAGGCCACCACAGCCTGCACCAGGCTGAGGGCACATCCTGGCAGAGGGCTTGCCCCTGGCTCCCCACCTAAGACTCAGGAGGAGAGGCGGGTCCCGTCCAACCTTCCGAATTCATGTAGAAGCAGTCACCTGAACACATTTCCTTGGTTTTCAGCCCCATCAGAAGGTTCCACCTGTGTGACTCCAACCCAGGCCCTTCTGAGGGGTGGGAGATGAGGGGGCGCCAGGGCCCCTCCTGGCCTTAGGTGAAGAGCATGAGTCCTGCTCCCGTGTGATCTAGGCCTCTGCCTTCACTTTCTTCCCTGGTACGAGACACCTCACAGGTGTTGGAGGATTAAATCTAACCGTTTATTAAAATCCAAGCAATTTTTATTAAAATTCAAGCCAAAATTCATGCCTGGGGAGGGCCAGAGGCAGTGCTCCCTAAATGTCAGCCATCGCCATTGTTGTCCTGGTGGATAGTGGTCAGGAGGAGGCCCAGCTGAGCCAAAAGTGCCCCGCCGCCCACTGACGGGGCTCACTTGTCCTCGTGGGAGGGCCAGGCCGCTGTCCACCTGGCTGGCAGCCTGAGGTGCCTCACCCCTTCCGGATACCCAGGAGGAGGGCAGCTCGCTCCTGGCCTGGTTGTGCCAAGGAAGTTGGGAGACAGGGCTGGAACCAAGACTGCACATGGCTGGGTATCCTTGGGACGTCCTGGCTGACGCTGGCAGAGTCCCGCCGGTCCTTTCTCTAGAAAGTGAGGGCAAGACCACCTGCTGGGATCAAAAGTAGGGGCACTGTGGTGCACTAGAGAAGGTGAGGATCATGGTGGGTGTGGAGTAACCTACCCACTGAGCTGGGTCCCCAGACCCCCAGTGGTGGCACATGTACTACCACTGATGTCCAGCAGAGGGCAGTAAAGAGTCTTGGGCCAACATTCATCTATTACAGTTGCCCCTGACATGCAGGTGGAGCTCCTGAAAGGGGCACTTTTTCCAAACTGCTCAAAAACCCCATGGGCTGGTGGCAGGCAGGGTGGGGCATCTCTGGGACAAGGAGCAGGGATTGTGGATTGACAGAATCATCCAGAGCTGGGGTCCAGAGGGAGGGTGGCCATGGTCAATGGTGGGGTCTAGACAGTTGATTCAGGAGCGGTACTGATGTCCCGGGAGGGGGCCAGGGTGGTCTCAAAAAGAACAGCCCAGAGGCGGAGCTGGGGAAGGACCGGTGTTCTGGCTGGTCTGGCTGGTGGCTGAAAGGGGACTTAGGACCTGAAGCCCCCTCAGGGCAGTGAGTGCTGGGTAGAGAGGAAGGTGGGGGCCCCTGTGAAGACCTTGGCAATCTCAGTCTTGGCAAAGAAAGGGGTGCGTGGCATAGGCTGAGCTCAGAGGGGCCAGAGGGCCCCAGAGCATTACTTTAGGGAGCTGAGTGACTTAAGATGTTAGAAGCTTCTGCTCCAAGTGGGCAGGGTCTGGCTTTAAAACCTAGGAGTGTTGGATGTCCTGGAAAGTCACTCACAGTGGCTGGTCAGAGAGTGCATGTGAGACAGAGCCAGCCGGGGTCATGGGGAGAGGAGCCGAGGAGACCCTGGCAGCCATGGGCCATGAGAGAGCTGAGGCTTTGTGTGGGCAGCAAAGGGCGAGGGGCTGGCTGGTAGGGTCAGAGCAGAGCCACAGAAACCAGGGAAAAGGACCCGGTTCCCAAAGTGAGCCTGAGTGGCTGTGACCGCCGCTGCCCCCCTTCCTGATTCGCACAGTATCCTTATGATAAACGCTCTGTCGCAGGAAGGGATCCGAGCGAATCTGTCTTCTGAGAGCCGGCAGAGGAGGTTGGGGTGGGCTGCTCAGACCTTCGGGACAGCGGGCAGGCCCTGAGGAGCCCTCGGCTGCTCTACCACCAGCTGAGGCTCTCGCTTCCAGAACCCAAGGTTGGCAAGACCCAGGGGTCAGAGCCCACAGTGGGATCTTTTCTTTCCAGGACTGTGTCCAGCTTTTCAGTAAAATGTAAGGACATTTGCCCCACAAATGCAAATTAGAAGTCATTGTTAAGTGTTGGCCACAGCATTATTTAGACTAGGAACATTGGTAACAGATTGCAAGCTCAAAGAGGGCAGGAATCTTGGTTTTCTTCACTGAAGCATACCAACTGCCTGGAGCAGCCACCAGGCATTCAGTTAACAGTTGTCGAATGGATGAGGGAATGCCTAACGACAACCATGACTTTCTTCCTTGTTTCAGATATGATAGAGTATTGCACAGCCATCAAAAAGGATATGACATAAGAATGTAAGACAAGATTTGTCAAATTAAAAAGCAGCTTACAAACCTACATGTAAAGTGTGATCCTGCTTTTGTGTTTTGGGGGGAGGAAGGGGGTTTCTATATAAAGAGTGGAAGGAAAGATAGATTCCAGATAGCGTGGTAGCTAACCGTGTGGCAGAATTGTGGGTGAGTAAAATGTTCCCTTCTTTCCTCACCTGTATCTTCACATTTCCCCACAACGTCTGTTACTGTTTGTTTCATAAGAAGAAACAATAATGTTATCCTTCTTCTTGGTGAGAGATCTTGGTGAGAGATCTTGGTGAGAGAGTTCCAACAGGCAGGTCCTTTGACAGATCCTTGAGAGGGAGAGAAAACTGACAGCCCCTCTCCTGATTACGGTGTGGAATTTCTCCAGATGTTCAAGGACACAATAGGCCGGCCGGCTCATATGAAGCCTCCCAGAAAAAAAACGTTCAGACACGTTTCCTCTTGTTAATTCAGGTGACACATCTTTCCAAAATTGATGGTGATGTCGCTCAGACCACCCTGGACATCACAAACGCCAGCTGCAGGCTGGACATGCATCAGAAGACGCTGGCTGAGCTGGACCAGGAAGTGAAAAAAGTCAACGACCTCATCTCCAACAGCGAGAACGAAATCTCCAGACGCACGATCCTGATCGAGAGAAAGCAAGGCCTCGTCAACTTCTTCAACAAGCAGCTGGAGCGGATGGTTTCTGAGCAGGGGGTAGGACCCGGGCCGGGAGGCGCCTCTGGTCGATGTTTGCGCCTGGCCATTTCAGGAACTGCTCACATTTAGACATGAGCTCCCATGGAACACAGTCATTCCTTCCCCCCTTTTACAAGTGAAATGGCGCGTGTGTGGGATGCTCTGAGTCAGGGGTCGGCAAACCTTCTTCTGTCAAGGGCCTGTTAGTAACTATTATAGGCGTTGCGGGCCAGACGGTCTCTGTTGTAACCATTCACCCTGCCGTGGTGGTGAGAAGGGAGCCAGAGGTGATACGTGAACAGATGGGCGTGGCCGTGTCTAGTAAAACCTTATTTATGGCACTGAAATTTGAATTCCATATAACTTGCGCCTGGCACGAGATATTCTTCTCTTGAGTTTTTGTACAGCCCACAGGCCATAAAAAGACAGGCAGTGGGCAGTCTGATGAGTTTGAGGCGTGAAGTCCTATAGGTTATCCAGTCATCCGTAACCTAAGGACCCCCATGGGCTTCAAGTCCCAGAGTGGGATGGGCAGCTGGGGGCACACTCTTAGGTAGACCCCAAACACCAGAGAGTCCTCTCAAAGCCCTACCCCAAATGGATGCTAAAGGAGTAAAGACCCTGACCCCTGACAGTGTGCTGTTAAAAGCCAACTTTCAAGCCCCTTTGGGTAATGGAGGCCCCGACGACCCTGCCTCTGTCCCCACAAGGCTGTGGCATGGTGGGGACACGCCAGTAGGGGGGAGGGGAGGGGGCTTCAGAGCCCCCAGTGACCTGTAATTCCCACAGCAGGTCCAGGGCATACAGCCTGGGCCCTCGGGGAAGAGAACTCAATGACGGGACCCTGCTCCTCTGAGTAAATCCCCCCACCGTTGAGCAGATGCATGAGCTCAGGGGTCCCAACCCTCTGCAGCCCACCAAGAAAGCAGACCTTTGAAACAAGGAGGCTCATTTTGCTTTTTGGCAAACATCCCTTTCAGGGGGAAGAGGTGGGGCCCCTGGAGCTGGAAATCAAAAGGCTGAGCAAGCTGATCGAGGAGCACAACAGCAGCGTGAGGCAGGCGCAGGGCACCTGGCTGCGCCTGCAGCAGGAGATGGTGATGGCCACGCGGGAGCGCGAGGAGCAGCTGGGCTCCCTGGCCACCTTCAAGAAGGAGGTCCGCATCCTGGAGCAGAAGAAGCTGCGAATAGAGAGTAAGTGCCGCCCTGCGCTCCGTTTGTCTGCAGCGACCCCGCAGCTCGGGGGTGGTCACACCTCCCAGGGCGGGGGTCCCTCGGTGGAACGCCCTGCCTTGTTTTCAGGAAGGCTTAACAGCAAACCACAACAAGGCTCACACCACATTGTGTAAATATGAGCCGTTGCTCTGACCAGCCGCCCGGTTTGCAGTCACAGTAGAAGCGTTGAGAAGATTTACTGAATTTGTTAAGTTCGTGGACTTTGGGGTACTCCCAGGGAGAGGAGAGTTAGAAACCTATCCCCGGGGGATCCCCCAGCCCCTGGCTTGCTCCAGGCTGTATCTAGGTCCGAGGGGCCTCCATGGGCCGGGGGTTTCCAGAGGGGAGGCAGACACCCTTCCCGGGCCACATCAGCCCCATGGCCACGTGCTGAGGCACCCCACTCCCACTTGGTCCCGCCTGCTCTCTGACGGGGGATCCAGCAGGTCAGCCCGGCCACGCAGCCCCACGGGAAATGCTGCCCGGTGGTCCGGGGCCCACTCCTCCTGGGCACATCACGTGCCATTTCTTCCCATCAGTCCTGCCACCTTCTTGCTCTGCCTGAGGGGCGGCCAAACCCACCTGTTGGAGATTAGGGCCCCTGAGCTCGGCCAGGGCAGGGCAGGGGGGCAGGGCCCACCTTTCCTGGAGACTGAGTGTCTGAGCGAGGACCACATCCCCGAAGCGCAAGGAACTCGCATGTGCTCCGGGGAGGGGAGCTTGCCGTCTGTCGTCACTGCCCCCAACCTGCTGTCGTCCACGCCAGGGTGCTTTCGTTCCTTTCAATTCAGGGTCAGGCTTTGGAAACGAAGCGGCCAGGAAGAGGTCCCTTCCCTCTCCTCTGGCCCGGCAGGGATGCAGTTCTGGTGGGGGCCCCCAGGAGGACAGCGGGCAGGAGGGGTGCTGTGGGGAGAGACCCTGCTCAGTACTCTGGGCACGTGGCTGCCCCACTGGCCAGGACCCGACCCTCCGGGGCTGCTCCCCCTGTGTCCCCGCTCTCTGCTGCAGACAAGATCGATCAGGAGAAGGAGGAGCAGAAGGAGATCGAGCGCCACATGAAGGACCTGGACAACGACCTGAAGAAGCTCAGCGTGCTGATGAGCAAGAGCCGCAGCAGCTCCGAGGGGCTGCAGCAGGACAACCTGGTGACCGAGAACGAGTTCCTGCGCTCGCTGAAGGTCGGGTCCCCTGGGGCCTGAGTCGGGCATGCTGGCTCCAGCCCTGAGGGCACGGGTTGACGGAGGGAGGGCACGCGCGTGGGCACACGTGTCCTCCAGCGTCCAGCCCACGGCTGCCCACGCCTCTCCCGATGCAGGCCTCTGAGAGGGAGACCATCGAGATGCAGGAGAAGCTGAACCAGCTCAGCGAGGAGAAGGCAGCCGCCCTCAACAGCCTGGTGGAGACAGAGTGAGTGCCGCGTCAGGCGCGCTAATTCTAAATGCTGCCGCCCCGCGGAGCCCGTGGGCCTGCACCGCCCATTTAACACTGCCTGGGGAGCGGTTCTGGAGCCCACGCCGGGGTCCTGGAGAACAGCTGGACACCACTGCAGGTTCTGGTCTCTCGCCCTGGGGCGGCCCTCTCGCCAAACCAGTTATCACAGGAAATCCAGAGGCTTTCTTTGGGATAAACTTTTTAAAATTATATTATTTTTCTGGTACCTGGTTGTAAGAGTAATCCATCCTGGACTGTAGGCATTTTAAACGGTAACAACGTGTGTGAAGTAGAAAGGGAAAGTCACATACGATTCCAACTCTCTTCCCTTACCAGAAGAGCACTGCATACGTATATTTCTTTTTCTTTTTCTTCTTTTAACAAAAACGGGGCTGTTCGATATGCTCCCCTCTGAAGCAGTTTTATGTGTCTGTGGCTGTCTTGCCCCGTCCGTGTGTGGGGTCTGCCGTCCCAGTGGTGTCAGTTGAACAGGCACCGAGGTGCATCAGGAACGCCATCACGTGCTCGGGAGGGGCCGAGGAACAACGGGCTCGTCCACTCCTGAAGTTTGATAGAAGCTACACATGAAACCACCGGGGACTGCTGCTTTGGAGGGTGTCGCAGCCCGTCCAGGCTGCTATAGCAGAACACCACAGTCTGGCCACTTATACACAGCAGACATTTATTGCTCACAGTTCTGGAGGCTGGGAGTGCAAGGTCGGGGCCAGCGTGGTGGGGCGAGGGCCCTCATCTGGGTTGCACACGTCTCGTTGTGTCCTCACATGGTGGAAGGGGCGAGGGGGCTCTGTGAGGTCCCCGTCTGTGAGGGCACTAATCTCGTCGTGGGGCTCCACCCTCATGACCTAATCACCTCCCAAAGGCCCCACCTCCGAATACCACCACATTGGGCACAAGGATTCCAACGCATCAAACACTCAGACCACAGCAGGGGCAGATGTCTTTGCTAGCATTTCAATAGCTTTTAGGCTGTTGGCCTCTTCAGGCTTTTTACTTCTTCTCCGTCAGCTTTTGTCACTTACATTTACTTTTCTCAGCTCCTCCTAAAGTTATATATTTTGCTTTCTCTCTCTCTCCACCCCTCCCCCCCAACTTCTCTGTCTGTCTCTTTCTCTCTTTGTGCCAGAGGTTTGTCTACTTCAAGGGTTGGCACACCTTTTCTGTAAAGAGCCAGATAGTAAATATTTTTGGCTTTCTGAGCCTTACGGTTCCTGTCGAAGCCTCTCAACCCTGCTGTCATAGCTCGGAAGCAGCTGTGGACCATACATAAACAAATGGGTATGGCTGTGTTCCAACTTTATTGGTGGACGCTGGAATTTGAATTTTACATTCTTTTTGTCTGTACCCTGGTCTGTGAAATCTGCTGTGTATTTTACACGTACGGCACACCTCAATTTGGACTCACCAGCGTTCAAGTGCTCCGTAGCCACATGTGGCTGGGGGCACCATGTTCAGGCAGGAGAGGCCAACGCTGGCAGCTGGTCTGGGCTGTGACTGTGTCTGTGGGTCCAGATCCCTCCTGCCACCCTCAGCCCCCTCAGTCCCCAGCAAACCAGATGCCCACCCCTGCCCAGGATGCCAGTAGGTGCCTTCCCATGCAGTGGTGGGTGCCTGTAGGGCCAGCCTGTGAGCCCCACCTGCCCCTCAACCCCACATCCCTGAGCACTGTATTTGGGGAGCATAGCTTCTGGGGTGTGGAGAGGAGAGGGAGGATGGAGGGAGGTAATGGCAGGACCACACATTTACCCTCTACCCTCCGCCCCCAGCTGCGCCGTCCCCACAGAAACCTCCTGAGGCTCTGGGCCCACTCTGGTCTCCAGGGTGGGACAGCTCCCTTTGCCCTGGGTTGGGTGGGCTGGCAGGACTTGAGAGAGGATGTCAGGCCCAGGGGTTTGGTTGACCTCCTGGTCCCAGAATGGGGGACATTTGTTCGGATTTAACAATCAAGCCCTTTGCTCCATGCCTGAGCATTTAAACACACCACCTGCCGCACGAGGGCGATCCTTCATGGACAGGAAGGCAGAGGGTCTCCCGTGGCCGATCACACCTGATCACAGACACTGACCCTCCTCCTCTGAGCCCACCCCGAGTACAGAACACTGAGCTCAGTTTCTGCTCAGACCTGACTGTTAACCACCCACTGTGGGCTCTCAACTTGGAGTGAGTCCTTAGAGCGTGAGCTCACTGAAGCATCAGAGAGAAATCTCCGTAATTTCTCCAGCTCTTTACCCTGTCTCGCCTTCCTTTAAAGACACCAGATCATGCTTTGGGAGAAAAAAATCCAACTGGCAAAGGAGATGCGCGCCTCAGTGGATTCCGAGACCGGCCAGACAGAGATCCGGGCCATGAAGGCCGAGATCCACAGGATGAAGGTGGGTGGGAGGGGGCGGCATGGGGACGCCTGGGGGACTGAGGGCCTGGGGAGGGACCGCTTCAGCACAGCAACCTGCACTCCAAGTGCAAGCGAAACGCGCTGTTCCCCTTGCGCCTTCTTACGTCAGGGTCTGTCCAGCTTTTGTCCTCACTGCACCAAAATAATTACAGGACACACACAGCCCTGTGCACGGTATTTCACGAACCACTGTTTTATCCTAACTCTGTGCAATCAAGGCACTCCGATATTTTTAAATGCTGGTTGTGACCCCTGAATTTCACCACCCATTTATGAGATGTATCCCACTGTTGGACCAAAAAGAGTCTCACTGAATAAATGGGTTCAAAGAACACACCCATCTTTTCCCCCGGAGCCATGTATTTCTCTCCACTGTCATCTTGAGCTGGATTTCATTACCTTAAAAAAGGCTGGTAATTAAATCACAGGCTATCATTGAGCCAAAGGTTCAGGGCCTTAAGGGTACAAATCAGAGCAATTAATAAAAATAAATGTGACATCACTTTGACAACACCGTTTGTAATCATAACCCCTCTGGCTGTTGAGTTCAGAGGAATTCTGATCAACTGCATATGCTACTGATAAGTTTTAAAAACACTCCACTTAACTGACTTTTCAAACCACAGAAGCCACGTATGTTGCTGGCAGGTCAGAGCCTCCACTCAGAGCTTCCACACACGGGGACCGGCTGCCTTCTCCCACCCTTCTAGTTGGTGGTGGTTTTTTCCTTAACAAAAATAGATCTTTGCATATAACTCAGCAACTTATTTTTTAAAAAATAATATGGACATTAACCCATTCTTTAACAGTTACAGAGTGTACCATGGACACATCATAACGTATGGAAACATTCCCAGGTTGATGACATTCAGACTGTTTCCAGTTGTTTTGTCTCTATAAACAATGTTACAATAATATCCTTACTTGCTAGTTTTTGTTTGTTTGTTTTCTATATGCTAGATTCCCAAAAGTAGGATTACTAGGTCGAAGAGTTTGTACCTTCTTCACTGTGCTAGAGTCGGACAGATTCCTCTTCCAAAAAGTACTTGAGTATGGCTCCGTCCCGACAGCCTCAGCAGTTCTGGGTGTTATCGGTCTGCCAGCCTTTTTTTAAAATGGACGTATTTAACTGAGGAAAAGCTCACCCTTTGTGGCATACAGTCCTGTGAGTTTTGACAAAGACATAGAATCATGATATAAAATATTTCCATCATCCTCAAATTCCCTCGTGCCCCTCTGTAGTCAGCCCTCCCCACACCCCAGGTCCCTGACAATACCAATCCGTTTCTGTTCCCAAAGTTCTGGCTTTTCCAAAATGGATGTCACATAAATGGATCATACAGCATGAAGCACTGAGTCTGGCTTTTCTCACTTACACTGTGCGGTTGAGATTCATCGTATTGGGGAAGTCCAATTACCCAATCTGTTCTTTAACGGATCGTTGTGGTAGTCCATCTAAGAAATCTTTGCCTATCCCAAGGTCACAAAGATTTTCTCTTATGTTTTCTTCTAGAAGCTTTGTACTTTTAGATTTTCCCATTAAGGTCCATGATGTATTTTGGGTTAATTTTTGTATATGTTGCAAGTTGTGGATCAAGGTTAATTTTCTCACAGTTTGGATGTCCCATTGTTTCAGTCCCCTTTGTTGAAAGACTGTCCTTTCTCCACTGACTTGCCTTCGCTCCCTTGTTGAAGTCAGTAGACACATTGCGTGGATCTGCTTCTGGGCTGTCTGCTGTGTTCCACTCTGTGCCCGTCTTTTCCCCAGTTCCACGCTGTCTTGATTTCTGTAGCTCTATACTTATGTGGTTCCTCCAACATTGTTCTTTTTCACAATTGTTTTGTCTATTCTATATCTTTTGCCTTTCCATAAAAATTTGAGAATCAGCTGGTTGATTCTACAAAAATTCCTGCTGGGATCATGACTGGGATTGCACTGAATCTATAGATCAGTTTAGAGAGAATTGACATTTTAACCTTGTTGAGTTTCCCAATCCATGAGCACCATATATCTCTCCATGTATCAGCTCGTTTGATTTCCCTCGTCAGTGTTTTTAGTCTTCAGCATCCATGTCTTGCACATGTTTTGTTAAATTTATACCTAAGTATTTCATGTTTTCTGGTGCTGTTGTAAATGGTACTTTTTAATTTTTCAATTTCCAATTGCGCGTGGTTAGTATACAGAAATATGACTTTTGTATATTGGCTTTGTTTCTGTGATTTTGCTAAACTCATTTGTTTATCAGACTTTATCATATCTGACAATCCACGTGTGAAAAGAGGTTTCTCAATGTTGTGTGGGTTTGTGTTGCTGGCTAACCAGCGTGATGCCGCCAGAGGAAAAGGAACCTGGGGGCATCGTCAGCTGGTCAGAATGATCTTCAAGTCCATCTAAAAAATGCACAGCCACACAGGCAAACACAGAAACCATGAGAGACCAGGGGAGGACTATACGCAGCCCGGGATCGGATCCTGGGCCAGAAACAGGACGTTAGCCAAAGACACGGGGAACGCCGGTTAGAGTCCGTAGTTTGGTTAACTGTATTGTACCAGGGTTAATTTCTTAGTTGGGACAAATGTGCTGTGGTTTTGTGAGGTGGTGACGAGAAGGGTCTGTGGGACCTGAGGCTGGGGGCTGGGTTCTAGCGAGAGATGCACTTGTGGGGGATTGAGCACAAGCATGTGCCCGTGTGTGCATGCGTGTGTGTGTGTGTGTCTATGTGTGTGCGCTGGAGTTTGCAATTCCTCACCCAGAGGATGCCTGTTCATATCTTTGGCTGATCTTCCTATTAGGCTATTTTCTTATTTCTTAACAATTTTTAGGAGCTCTTTGTGTATTGGGGTTACTAACCCCTGTCTTTAATACCGATTTCAAACATTCTCTCTAGTCTACTGTTTGCCTTTCCACTTTGTTCAGGGTGTTTTTTTTACCACTCAGAATGTTTTTATGTTTAGTTGTGTAATAGATCAGTCTTTTTCTTTACAGCTTCTGGGTTTCCTGTATTGCTCAAGAAGGTCCCCCTAGCTTGAAGTTACACAAATATATTCCTGAGTTCTTTTCCAATGTTTGCACATATTTAGATCTTGAATCCACCTGGAATTTATTTTGGGTTATGGTATGAAATAGGGGTCCATCTCTGTTTTCTCTCAGCTGGGGAGTGAGTGATGCCGACAGCAGGTATCAAATAATCTGTGCTTTCTCACTGAACCGAACACCACATTGATGACAGCAGCTCCCCACATCCCCTGCCGTCCACGTCTCCTGCCATCCCCGTCCCCTGCCACCCTCATCCCACACTCATCCTGCTCTCCCTGCTCTGCTGCAACGGTCACTCTGTCAAGGCTTGCACCGGTGCAGAGCGTTTGGTTACTGTCACTCTATGGTCCACTTTAAACCTGGGTGGGTAGGTCTCCCACCACCATTCTTCACGTAACTTGGGGATTCTGGCCTGTTTATCCTTTTTTTATTTTAAATCGACTTTATTGTAGCATAACTTACACACAATACATGTACTTATTTTAAATGTCCAGTTTGATGACTTTTGACACAAGTACACACGTATGCCACCACCACGATCAAGGCCTAGAACCCTCTACCACTCCAGAAAGCTCCCTCGTGCCCCTTACAAGTGCATCTCCCACTACAACCCAGTCCCCAGCCTCAGGTCCCACAGACCCTTCTCGTCACCACCTCACAAAACCACAGCACATTTGTCCCAACTAAGAAATTAACCCTGGTACAATACAGTTAACCAAACTACGGACTCTAACCGGCGTTCCCCGTGTCTTTGGCTAACGTCCTGTTTCTGGCCCAGGATCCGATCCCGGGCTGCGTATAGTCCTCCCCTGGTCTCTCATGGTTTCTGTGTTTGCCTGTGTGGCTGTGCATTTTTTAGATGGACTTGAAGATCATTCTGACCAGCTGACGATGCCCCCAGGTTCCTTCTCTTCCGGCGGCATCACGGTTCAGTGGGTGTAGTGGGAGGCGGCACTGGCCACTCTCCTGCGCAGCTGTGTCGTGGCCTCCCACCCCGGCCCCTCTGCCTGTGTCCCCAGGTCAAGCATGGGCAGCTGCTGAAGCAGCAGGAGAAGATGATCCGCAACATGGAGCTGGCTGTCGCCCGGAGAGAGACCATTGCGAGCCGGGCCGAGGGGCAGTGCAAGACGGACAGGAAGTTGCTCACCCGGACAGACTTCCACCACAAGCAGATGGAGCTGCGACGAAAGATCAGGGACATTCACAAGGTAGGGGAGCCATGTGACAAGGGAGGGAACATGCCATGGACCGCCTGGCCACAGGCTGGCGTCCACCTCTGTCCCTCTTGCACGTGGTCAGCGTGTCACCAGCCCCACTGGCAGGTGTCCCAGGCATCGCTGGCCAGGGCTGTCCTGCTGGTGTACCAGCCTCCCCCTGGGCTGTGACCTCACTCTGTCCTTCCAGCCGGCTTCTCAGCGGTCCCTCCCCACCCCATTCGCATCACCGCCTCTTCTTCTGCCCCTCATTCTCAGAGCTGCAGTCAGAGCTGCTGTGTGGATCTGTTTTACGAGACAGAGAAGTGACAGTGTCGGGGGGCAGGGGGATGGAATAAGCCTGGCTTTGGAACCAGACAAGCCAGATTTCTCTTGCGCTGGAGACAGAAGCCACTGCATCCTCTGGGCCTGAGCCCCACAGCCCGTGTGCTGGTTCTGGGTACAGACACAGTGGCTGCCAGAGGTGCTTGCCGAGTACCCCTGACATGCTGCCATGACAGGGCCCTTCACGGGACTATCTTCTTCTACAGAAGATCCACACAGGGAGGGTGCAGCTTAGGGCCGGAGGCAGCCGTATTTCAGCTCCTCTCTGCTTAAAAGAAATGTCAGGGAAGCATGGAGTGTTGGTGAAGGACGTGAGCCCTGGCATCACTGACCCTGAGGGGCTGCTGGGGACGGGCTGATGGGAGCTCGGAGGGCACCCACTCGAGCCCACATCCCTGTCCACCAGGCCACACTGACCAAGCATGTGGTGTGTGCCATGCCCTGGGAGGGGACAAGCTGGTCCTGATCCAGTGCCCACTCCCTTAGTGATCACCAGGCCTGGTTCTGGGCTCAGACTCCCCTCAGCCCCCGCTGACCAGCGGTGTGGCCTTGGGCACGTGTGGAAGCTTTCTAAGCCGGCCTTTCCTGGTCTGCCGAGTAGAAATGTGAGCAGTAACCCCCTCCCAAATAGGCGAAGGGTTATATTAGACAGAACCCAGCCTCAGAGTGCTCTGTGCCTTGGCTTACTGACCTGTGAAATGGCTCCTCACTGTGCGGAGTCATCCAGAGGATTAAATGGAGAGTGTTGGAATAGCCCCTTCAGTCTGTGAGCCTGTGTGAGGAAAGATTAGCCAAAAATGGCGGATTCGACCCCGCTGTTCCTTTGGAAGTTCCTGGAGGTGGCAGAGTGGCCTTCTCTCAGTCCTTGTCTACCAGTCTTCTCTGCCACACTGGCCGCTCTTGACGTCCATTCTTGCCGCTCTTGACGTCCATTCTTCTCCACTCCTCCTGGCTCCCCGGGGCCTCCTCTGCCCCTCCCCCACTGAGGGCCCCGCCTCCCCCACCTGACACCCCTGACCCCACATCCTGCTCCCAGCAACAGGACAGTTGCACCCAAGTCCTCCTGCCACACACACCCCCATGCCCCATGCCCAACATGACCTCCACCGTTTGTGCACAAACTGGCCCTTTTTCCCATCCCTGCCAGCCCCATCACAAATTCTCCAGCTCAACTCCGAGAGTCACTTTTGTCTCTTCTACTTCAGCCATCCACCGGACCCCACCAGCTGCCAAATGCTACCAGATTTCTCTTTCTCCTAGTTGTGCTGCTCCCCTGAGAACCACCCCGCCACCCACCCGCCCCCCGCCAGTCATGGAGCCCAGCCTCCTCTGTCCCACCCTGCTGCAGATGCTTCCTGAAGCACTGGGTCTGTGACTCTGCAGAGGGGCCCCCACCCCACTGCCGGCCACCTCCACTCCCACCATCCTCTTTCTCATGCTCTCTAGCCCACGTCTCCGCCTCACACGGCCTCAGCCTCTGCCTCAGTTATCTTCCCCTACCCTTGGCACACAGCTGCCCAGCTGCCCTTGGTCCTCATGCCCTTGCAGACAGACCCACTATATGAGGAGGACCCCCCCCCAGGACTCTCAGGCCCCCCAGGTCTTTGTCCAAGCCACGCCTACCCTCGGGTAGCAGTCTGCAGTGTGGCCCTGGCATCCCACTGGGACTCCCCACCCCTCCAGGTCACAGTTCCCAAAGGCAGGGACTATCTTCGTCCTCTCTGGGAATCCTTTCAGACTGCGTGCATAGAAGGTTGTTGCCAGGTCCTTCCAGCCTGACTGGTCTCTGTCCGCTAAATAACCAGTAGGCAGCCTCCCAGGATGATCCTGTCTGTCTCCTAGGCCACTGAGGAGTGCACCAAAGTCACCTTGGAATTGGAAGAAACTCAAAACTGTGTGAGCAACTCCCTCCTGGAGAAGCAGGAACAGCTATCAGCGATGCAGTCCCGTGTGGATGATATAGAAGCTGACCTGGACCGGCTCGTGGCCCTTAAGCGACAGGTAGGCAAGTCCCCTGGGCCACAAGAACCCAGCAGTGGTTCTTGTGCTGCCAGTGCCCCTGGCAGCAGCAGTTCTGTGCGTTCTCAGGAAAGGCCTCCTCCTGATCCGGTTAAGCCCAGGCTGATCGCAGCACTACCAACTGCTTTGTGATCATTCGTTCATCTAATATTTCTCCCGTGTCCTCTACGGGCTGGGCACTGGTCTGGGTGCTAGGGCTACAGAGAAGAATGGAAAAGACGACATCCCTGCCCTCCCAGAGGTTACATTCTGGGGGCGGGCGGACCGATAATAAGCAAAATAAATAAGACAAAAGATACCATGTGTTAGATGGTGATAAATACTCTGGAGAAAAATAGCAGAGAAGGGGCATCAGGGTGGAATGGGGCATGGCACTTTTAAGTCAGGTGGTCCAAGAAGGCTGCACGGAGAAAACGACATTTGAATCAAGGCTTGCAGGAGGTGCCAGATCAAGCCACCCCAGGTAGAAGGAACAGCTGGGTAAAGCAGGAGCTTGAGACTGCCCAAGGGCCAGCCAGAGGCCAGCAGGCTGGACCTCGAGGGCAGAGAGGGCCCTGTCGGGCTGTGCACAGCCTTAGAGGGGCACGATGATGACTTTAGGCTTTTTTCTCAGGGAGGTAGGAAGATAGTGGAGGGGTTTGGGGCTGAGCAGTGACTTGGGTTCAGCAGAATCACTCTGGCTCTGAGGTTGAGTGTGGAATGGAAGGGTCAAGGGTGGACATGGGAGGCCTATTTGAGGCCATCACAGTACTTAAGGAGGACAGTGATGCATGGACCAGGGCAGTAGCTGTGAGGCTAGTGAGAAGCCATCGGATTCTGCATATAACTTCCAAGTCGCCCCAGTGGGATTTCCGGCTAGACTGGATGTGGTGGGAGCAGAAGAGGAGGGTCAAACAGGATCGCAGGGCCTGGGCCTGATCAGTGAGATGGGGAGGTAAGGCAGGGGCGCGTCCAGCACTGGGCCTGGCACGTGGCAGGAGTCCAGTGTCTCTCAGACAATGGACGAAGGGAAAGGCTCTGCCCAGTGTGTGTCAGCCTCTCCCCCTGGACGTGGAGACTCAACACCTGCAGCGGTTCCCTTTCCCATGTAACTCTCCTCCGGCACATCCTTGAGGCCGTTTGTGTGGGGACCAGTGAGTGTCCTCTTTTTAATCTGCACAGCCTGACCCAGGGTCTCTTGTCCCACCCAAGAACCTTTCCCAGCTCGTGGCCCTGCAGACGCGCCTCAAGCACCTCCAGGCTGTGAAGGATGGCAGGTATGTGTTCCTGTTCCGCTCCAAGCAGTCACTGCTGGCAGAGCGCAGGCGCCTGGAGGACCGGCTGGCCATCATCAGCACCATCCTTGACCACGTGAAGGACGAGTACCCCCAGTTCCAGGAGGCCTTGCTCAAGGTCAGCCAGATGGTCGCCAACAAGCTCGAGTCACCGGGCTCCTCCTAGAGAACAGCCTGGACCCCACCTTCCCAGGCCGGCCCCCCAGGAAGAGATTAGAATTTTGTGTATTATCAGGGACTTAGAATCTTTCTGGGTCACTGAAAGCCATGTCTACCCTCAGAGATGACACCATTTAAGAGAAATAGATAGGCCAGCACTGTAGGAAATTTTTTTCAGCCACTTAGTAGTTTAAAACCAAGTCAAATCCCAATGTTCGCAGTTGCATTTTGGTGAGTCTTCCGTTTGCAAAGGCAGTGCCCGTGAACACAGACCTGTGTTCCCACCTGGGACTCACTTGTCCAAGTCAAGCTGGCGTTTGTGGAGGCTCCCATTTCTGCACATGAGAGTGGTCAGAAGGGAACTGTGTTTCCTCATAAGCGTGTGCTGGTACCAGTTCAGAATCTTGCAGGGTGAGTAAAGGAGAATGGACTCCACAGAAAGCAGGGGTATGATGGCGCCCATCCCTCAGCGCCTCTACCAGGACGCATCTGAGAACCCGCAACCCATCTTCTCATCCACAGTTTGCCCCCCACACCCCGCCCCCAGGAAACTCAGGTCCCTTCTCCTGCCCCCACTCCCAGATTCACAGCCCGCAGGAGAAAGTCCAAGGGGATTGAAGCCAGGGGCCATGTTTATAGAGGCCTAAGGAGACTGAAATAAGACCTTCATGTGTGTGAATGCCGGCCATGTCCCATGTCTGCCCACTTGTCCAGCCTTCACTGCCCACCTGAGTGCTCCTTCTCCACACCCCTGATCCCTGAGCACCTGTTACCTTGTGGCTTCTCTGCAGTGTGAAGGAAAAACGTTCTACAAAATAATTTCACTTTCAAACTTTTCAGCAGAAAAATAAATTTTTTTTCTGAATATGGGAGAAAGGCATATTTATTCTAAAACATTTCAGAAATACAAAAACCATAAGGAAGCAGAGGAAGCCCTCAGTTCCCCAGCCCAGCGGCGCCTCTGCGTGTGCTTTCAGCATTTTCTGTGCATGCCTTCCTCTTGACAAGATCACGCTGTGTGCTCAGCCCTTCTATTTCACTTTGAAAGCCTTGCTCATCTTAACATAAGCATTTTCTCCTTGTATGAAAAGTTCCTGGTAATGTCATTTAACATTTTCACAGTAGCCGATTTTATCGGTTATGACAATGTTTCCCTTTACGGCATAAGTTAAAGTTACTTAACTAAAGTTGCTTCCAAATTTTCACTGTTTTTGCTATCTCGGTGCTGAACACCTGTGCCCACCTTTCAGGCTAGATTTTCTGGGCCTCGGGCGTCCTGGCAAGCTCGTAGGAAGGCCCAGTAGCCGCGGGGACGAGGCGGTGGGGGGGCGCGCCCTTCCCGACCCCGGAAGGCAAGGCGGCACGGGAGGGCACCTGCAGGCCCCCTCTCACCAGAGCACTCTCCTCTGCAAGGTGCGCGCCTCCTCGGGCCCTCCCACTCTCCAGGGCGCAGAGATCCGAGGAAGGTTAGGACCAGGAAGCCCACGTGACAATGCCCCACGCGACCAGCCCAGCCCGCCCCGCCACCAGGTGGCGTACCGCCGGAGAAGTGCACCTTCCCCCAGGGCGCCTGCGCAGGCGGCCTGTCACGTGACCCGCCTCCATCCCCTGATTCGCCTGACTCCGGGTCGCCACTGCGGGCCCGGCGCGCGTGCGCGGAGGTGAGCTGGCTGGGGCCGGGCTCGCGTGCGCGGAGGTGAGCGGGTCGGGCAGTGGGGCCGCTGCTGCGGGTGGTCCCAGCGAGGACCCAGGGTCGGGGTCTTCCGCGGCAGTCTCTCCGACGAGAGTCTTGGCGGATCTAGGCAGTCATGACTCCCGAAAGGGAGGGCTCGATCGATCGATCGATCGATTGGTGGTCAGTGACTAACTTGCAGAAGTGGAGCACATCGTGCCGGGGTTCGCGCGCGGCAGGTGGGCAGCAGTAACGACTGGGACCCCAGTAACGACGGGGACGCCGGAAACTCCACGGTTCTCATTCACTCCCCCGTGCTGGGTGAGGAAGTCGGCGCTGGCCCCATGTCACAGGGAGGAAACTGAGGCACGGGAGTTAAGAACCCTTGCTTCCCGCGTCAGTAGTGGCGCTGGGCTTGAACCCGGCTTGTTTATTCGACCACCCTGGCTTGGGAGCAGCGGTTCTGAGCCACTTCGCTGAAAGGGGAGGGACAGGCTCTCCTGGTCAGCAGCGCCACTTGACCTCCTGATCCTCAGTTCTTCCCCATTTTCTCTCTCAGTTGTCAAACCCTCCAGGCACGACTCTTCCCCATTTCTAGGGTCTCTTCCCCATTTCTAGGTTCTCTTCCCCGTCTGTAAAATGGAAGCATGAGGAGGGAGGTGGTGCTAGTCCTGGCTGTGCCCCTGAGCCACCTCTGCAGCCTCTGACTCAGATGGCTGGACCTGCTGTCTGGGAGGGGAGCGCCCTGAGTGAGGCCCCTGACTACACTCTGAGTTCCCTAGTTTCTGAATCTCATGATCACAAGGTGTCAGATGTATCTGCAAGGGTCAGGTGGAGCTGGGACACTTTGTGCTATAAAAAATAAATATTTAGTCTTTGTCCCCAGTTCCTGGCACACAGCTCCTAAAACCCCTGGAATATTGGGAGTGATAAGAGTCTTTTAGATGCTAATAAGATGACTGGAGGCTGGGGGCCTCTGGATAGCTGCTTCAGGATGGAGGCTGGTCCCCAGAAAGTCCAGGGCAGGATTAGAGGGTTGGAACTTTAACCCCCAACCTCTGGGGAGTGGAGGGGGGCTGGTGATTGAGCCAATCACCAATGGCCAATGATGTAATCAATCATGCCTACATAATGAAACATCCATCAAAATGGTAAATCACTTGGGGTTTGGAGAGCTTCCAAGCTGGTGAACACATTGTGGCGCTGGGAGGGTGGCTCACCCAGAGAAGGCATGGAAGCTCCTCGCCCTTTCCCCGTACCTTGCCATCTGACTGTTCCTGCATTGTATCCTTTATCATAAACCGGTAACAGTCAGTCGAGTGCTTTCCCGAGTTCTGTGAGTTGTTATAGCCAATTATGGAACCTGGGGAGGTGGGGCAGCCGGTGTTGTATGAACCTCTGAATTTATAGCCGGTTGGTCAGAAGTGCCGGTGACAACCTGGGACTTGCAGCTGACATCTGAAGTGGGGGCAGTCTTGTGGAACCTCGCCGTTAGCCTGTGGGGTCTGCACTGACTCCGGGAGTTTGTGTTGGAATTGGGTTGAATTGTTGGACACCCAGCTGGTGTCTGGAGAGCAGGAGAATTGATTGGTGTGAAAAAAGAAACAAAAACCCCACACATTTGGTGTCAGAAGTGTTGTGTGAATAAAAACAGTTCCCTCTTGCACCTAATTTACCAGTGGCCTGCGGTGGCCAGAATGTTCCAGGTGACTGGTTTGTGTCATGACAGGCTCAGACTCCCTCCGTGCCCTAGGTGCACTTCTGCCTGATGTGTGCCTTTTTCCCAACACTTCCGTGTTTGTGGCAGCCATGAGACTGTGTCTCAGGGTCCTCCCGCCACAGGGAGCCTCACTGACCGAGGGCCCAGCTGCTGAAATCCATGGCTGCATGGACTCCGAGGCCAGGCTGCTTCCAGGCCCCCAACACCAGAGCAGGCCGCTCCTGGGAGCCCCGGGCCCCTCTGATGGCCAACTTTGGCTCCAGGATCCCCCGCAGCCTTGCCAAACCTTCCTTCACCTGCATGGCAGTCTGTGAACAACCACGCTTCCCCTCCCTCCCGGGGGGCAGGCCTGCGTGGGGTGCGATGGCTCCCCCAGCATCCTCTCCACTTTCTCCCAAACAGATGAGGATTCCCCTGATAGAATCCTTGCACATTTACTCCCATGTTGGTGTCTGCTGCTCCTCGGAGGAGCCAGACCAACAACGTTCCTTATGAAATATTTGGAGCACAGATTAGCAAAACGCAGGTCGTAACAGTCTTCCCACTGGGTGACCTAAGTGAGGCTCTGCATGCAGCTGCTGTGACAGAGACCCAGACCACTGTGTTCCCTCAGCCGTGCGGCTTTCTCCTGCACCTAACCGCAGGGGCCAAGTCCTGGGGACCAGGCCTTTCTCCTGTGACTTTACCATCCCTAGAGTGTTGCCCTCGGCTGCAGTGCCCGGGACTTCTCACCAGGCTGTATCCACGTCCGGGTCAGCAGGAGAGGGACAGAGGAAAGGGGACGGTCCCCGTAAGGGCACTTCCACTTCCACCCCATTAGCCAAAACTTAGTAACCTTGGCCACAGTCGTCATACAGAAATGGGGCTTACTCCGTCTACTGCCGTAACCTGCTGTTCCACGTGGTGTTGGTCTCTCATGTGGGTCTTTTTGTGTCACTGAATCACTTTGCAGACATTCTAAGCATGCTTCATTTGTAACACGTAGAAGACTTCGCAGTGCACGGCATTCTGCAACCCCTATTTGGACTTTTCTCTCCTTTCCCTTTTTCCTCCCTCCCGGACGTCTGTCTAAACAGTGCTAGGAGCTCATCCTGCCTGCCTGCCTGCGTCCTCCGCAGACCTCACCTCCGCCCTGGGCTCTGCCTGGCTGGCCACAAGTTCAGGTCTGGAAGCTGCTTTGAGAGGCCCCTGAGGCCCCGGTCCTCCCTCTTGCCTTCCCTGTTGAGCTGGCTCTTCTCTCAGCAGGCCTCCAGGACCTGTCCCCACTGCCCGCAGGCACCGCGACCATGGATGGGAGGTGGCTACCCTGCTCCCGCCCGCTGGGGCTCTGCCTCCTTGTCTCCTTGGCCACTGCTGCCCTTCTGGGGCATGTCCTGCTGCACAATTTCACGATGGGCCCCCGAGAGCTTCGCGGCTTCTCCCAAGTACCCAAGGAGATTTACCGAGCTCGCCAGCAGGGAACCAGCGGCCCAGGGTCCCAGCCCACCCCGGGGCGCCATGGCAGTCCCAGAGCAGCGCCCACACAGTGTGACACGCCCCCCAACAGCCGCTTCGACTGTGCCCCAGACAAGGCCATCACCCAGGAGCAGTGTGAGGCCCGGGGCTGCTGCTATGTGCCTGCAAGGCAGTGGCCTCGGGGCTCCCAGATGGGGCAGCCCTGGTGCTTCTTCCCACCCAGCTACCCGAGTTACAAGCTGGAGAACCTGACCACCACAGAGACGGGCTACACGGCCACCCTAACTCGAGCCACCCCGACCTTCTTCCCCAAGGACATCCTGACCTTACGGCTGGACGTGCTGGTGGAGACAGAGAGCCGACTCCACTTCACGGTGGGCAGGGATGGGGATCAGGCACATGCAGAGACAGGGGTCACGGGCAGGGGCTGGGCAGGGGCAGAGTGGACAAAGCGGACTCTACTGGGTGTTTATTGCACAAATGTGTTTTGTGCCCTCACTGGGAGTCCTGGAGGGAGCAGACACACTGCCTACACTCAGGGAACAGGGGGCCTGAATGTAACTAGACAGTTACTAGTAACTAGTTACTAGAAGGTTCTAGAATGTGCTCTAGAGGGCAGTGCTCAGGGCGCGGTGGAGGAAGGTTAGGCTTCCCCCGGGAAGTGACGTCTCAACTGGAACCTGAAGAGCTACAGGAGCCAGCAAGCAGAAAGGTAGAGAGGGAGGAAGGGGGAATGTTCCGGGCAGTGGGATCCCCGCCGCTGACCGTCTGTCCCCGAGGGCAGGGCCCCTTGTGTGATTATTCCCTGCAGTTTCACAGCCCCTGGAACAGTGTCTGGCACGTAGCAGGTGCCCAGTAAAAACTTGTCCACTGAATGAATGTGCAGACGCAAACGTGAGAGAGCCTGAAGCACATAATTCACCACAGCCCACCTATTTTAACAGTAATTTATGACAGCCATCGTTTACTGAGCGACTACCAGGTACTAGACAAGAGCTAGGTGCTCCAATAGTATCTTCTCGTTCACCCTGTGACAGGTATGCTGGGTAGAGTAGCATTGCCAGATTCAGCAAATAAAAATACAAGATGCCTAGTAAGTTTGAATTCCAGATAACCAAGGAATGAGTTTATTTTTTTAGTGTATGTCCCATGCAACATCTGGGCTGTACTTATACTAAAAAAAATATGGTGTTTGTCTGAATTCAGATTTACTGGGCGTTCTGTATTTTACCTGGCTACCCGCAGGGGGCGCTCTTCCCCTGGCTCTGTAGGTGAGGACACGAGGCCCAGGGAAGTTGACCAAACTGCCCACACTCACACGCGATATGTGGCCGTGCAGGGACTTGAACTGAGCCCTCACTCCTTTGGAGGGTGAGGGACAGAGTGGGAAGGTGTACGGGGGCCACCGGCCCACAGAAGGCCTCATGACGCCACTGTCTCTCATCTTCTAGATCAAAGATCCCGCCAACAGGCGCTATGAGGTGCCTTTGGAGACCCCCCGTGTCCGCGGCCGGGCACCATCCACTCTCTACAGCGTGGAGTTCTCGGAGGAGCCCTTCGGGGTGGTCGTGCGTCGGAAGCTGGACGGACGGGTGCTGTGAGTGCCTGGTCCTGTGCCCCCACCCCGGTGGGAGAGTCAGGGAGTTGGATGGCACCGACCTGACCCCATCGTGGTCTGCCCTCCCCCTCGGGGCCTCCTCACTGTGCCTGGCCCCCCAGGCCCTGGAGCTCCTGTTCCTCTGCCCCGAGCTCCCAGAGGCCCCTCCTCAGACCCTCTGACTGTCCAGCCCATGGAGTCCCAGCCGGGGGTGATTTTCCTCCAGGGGACGTTCGGCAGTGGCTAGAGACATTTTGGTTGTCACCACTGGGGGTGGAGGTACAGGGGTGCTACTCCACACCCAACAATGCACAGGACAGTCCCACAAAAAAGAATGGTCTGGCCCAAATGTCAGTAGTGCCTCGGCTGAGGAACCCTGTCCAGTCTGAAACGGTGCCCCCTCCAGGCACATCCCCTTACGGCTTTATCTCTATTGTATTTCTTTTTCACACACTGCATTTCGCCTCTTACGTATCAGGCATGGTAATTATCAACTCATCTAATCCTCATAACGACTCAGAAGTAGGTGCTGTTATAATCCCCACTTTACAGATGGGGTAACTGAGGCACAGAGAGGCAGCGTGACTTACTGGCGGGTGATGGAGCCAGGGCCCCAGCGTCCGTGCTGTTGGCCGCTCTCTGCTTCATGTCTCTCCGGGAGTTGTGTCCCCCACGGGATCTTAGGTTTGTTGGGATCGTTGCTGCTGTCCGCCCATGGCAGGAGACTCCTCAACCTCCAGCTCCTGGAGCAGTTCTGACCCACAGCAGGTGCTCAGCGGATATTTGTGGAGAGAATGAGGGCACAGCTTGGTCATGCCCTCGCCTCCCCCGCCCCGCCCCCAGGCATCGGATGCACTGAGCATCCTTTACACTCCAATGCCGTGGCTGTGACTCTGAGTGTCCAACACAGCCCCTCTTCAGGAGGACAGACCCGCGGGCCCAGAAGTGCACCTCACCCAGCCGTCGGGCAGGGGCAGGGCTGGCTCTGGAGCAGGGAGGGCCAGGGAAGGCCTCTCTGAGAAGCTGACCTTTGAGCAGAGACCTGGTGTAGAGAAGTTTTTTAAAGCATTTTATCAGATTTTGGTCTTGAAAACAGCACCCCCCCTGCCCACAGAGAAGTAGAGTCTTGCCTAGGGGCGGGTGGGGTACGGTGGGAGCTCACCCCCGAAATCTGCCACGCTATGTCTTCCTCACAGACAGGGGCCTCGTCCTTGGTTTCACCTTGCTCTTGACCCTGTGCAACCTCGGGGGACCCCGGCCATCCCAGGCTGGGCAGCTCCCCGGGCTCTGGAGCTGAGCTGGGGCAGGACTCGCCGATGTCTGGGAACAGTTTGTCCCTTGCAGGAGGAGTGGGGCCACAGCTCCAGGGACTGGAAGGGTTCGGGCAGCCCTCGCCCAGCACCTGTTTGCCATCAGGTCCCATGGGGCAGTCGGCCTCTGGAGGCCTGCCTGGGATGACATGGGCACAGCTGGGCATCACCCCTTCTCTGGATGCGCCCTGCATGCTCTCCATGCCCGTGTCAGGGACCCGAGGGTTGTTGGGCCTCGCATGGCTGCTTCTGTCCCGGGGTCAGTGTGTCACAGAGCTGGCCGGGCCACTCCGGCCCTCCTTGGCAAGTCTCTCAGGGAGGGTCCATCTCGGGCTCGTCTGGCCGCCCAGGGTGCAAGGCTGCCTGGTCTCTCCACGGCAGGCTGAACACGACGGTGGCACCCCTGTTCTTCGCCGACCAGTTTCTGCAGCTGTCCACCTCCCTGCCGTCCCAGTACATCACCGGCCTCGCCGAGCACCTCGGCCCCCTGATGCTCAGCACCAACTGGACCAAGATCACCCTCTGGAACCGGGACATCGCCCCCATGGTAACGGGGGCAGCCGGGGCAGGGCCTGGGCCCGGAGGAGCCGTGTGGGTGCGGGAGCTAAAGTGCTGTGTCTGCCGTGTCCCAGCCCTCTACGAACCTGTACGGGTCCCACCCTTTCTACCTGGTGCTGGAGGATGGCGGCTTGGCTCACGGGGTCTTCCTGCTGAGCAGCAATGCCATGGGTAAGCGAGTGGGCGGCCACCCCCAGTGGGCACCAGAGTCCCCCAAACCCCAGCCAGGTCTGCCTGTGAGCTTCCATGCCGGCAGCTTCTCTGGGTGCAGCTGTACCTCCTCCTTCACAGAGGGAACGTGAAGCTCTCTGCACCTGCCCCTACAGACTGGGGTAGAGGAGAGGGGCCATTGGCAGGGAGTTGGGCCTTGTTTGCTCTTCTGAGAAACGAGTCCAGTGGGCTTCGACCTCTGCCAGCTCTGCCCTTCAGTGCTCAGAATGACTATCCCCTAGGCCCCCAAGCGGGCCGCTCCCAGGTTCCCTGTGGGAGGAGCCCCTCTCCAACAGTGGTTTGGCCTGCCCTGAAGGTCCCTCAGGGGTGGGGCGGGGCAGATATTTGTCCATGAGCCCCAAGGCTGCTTCCCTAGATGTGGTCCTGCAGCCGAGCCCGGCCCTCAGCTGGAGGTCAACAGGTGGGATCTTGGACATGTACGTCTTCCTGGGCCCGGAGCCCAAGAGCGTGGTGCAGCAGTACCTGGAAGTCGTGGGTAGGCCTGCTCCCCTCCTCCGGCCCCGCCGCCCCTCCTTCCTCCCCTCCCCACCCCCTCCCACCCACTCAGGGTGTTGTGTTGGCTCGCAGGCTACCCGTTCATGCCGCCGTACTGGGGCCTGGGCTTCCACCTCTGCCGCTGGGGCTACTCCTCCACCGCCATCACCCGCCAGGTGGTGGAGAACATGACCAGGGCCCGCTTCCCCCTGGTGAGTGTGGGGCGGGGTGGGGGGGGGGCTGGGCAGGGGAGGCGGCCCCCAGGCCCAGCAGTGGGCTCCTGTGCTGTGGCTGCAGGACGTGCAGTGGAACGACCTGGACTACATGGACGCCAGGAGAGACTTCACTTTCAACAAGGATGGCTTCGGGGACTTCCCAGCCATGGTGCAGGAGCTCCACCAGGGCGGCCGGCGGTACATGATGCTCGTCGTGAGTGCCCCCTCCCTCCCCTCCTGCAACATGGCGGCGTGGACCTGGCTCTTTGGGGAGCGGCCCGGTGCCCAGTGGCTCCTCCTCTGGGTAGCGTCTTCCTCGTGCCTGCTGTGGTCACTGAGGACATTTTCTGAGGGTCTTTGATATCAAGGGCATATCAGATTTACAGGTTTGTCCCTGCTGTCCACTGATGTCCAGCACAAGTGTCCCTGGAAACATCTGCCTGCTGCTCAGGAGCCGTTCAATTGTAGATTACTTGAAGGGCTTAAAGCAAAGGCAGAGGGGCTGTCAGCTGACATCCCCAGTACTGGAAGCCTGGGGTGCAGCTGTGCACAGGGGCAGCAGAGGCGTACTCGGCGTGTCTCCGGGCCCTGCCTCCCTGGGAGTCAGCTCTGTCTCCAGGGGAAGGAGGGCGGGACTCTGAGTGGCCCGGCACGAAGACACACCCTCCCTGAGCCAGTGCCCGCAGCCAGAGGAATGCTATTCTGCTTCCGGAGGAGGAGGTGGGGAGGGGAGCTGAGACCAAATGGTCGCACCAAGGATACCCCCTCAGTAGAGGAAATCGGATTGCCGAGAGGTTTGGAATTGCACTGACGTTGGCCATTTCCGTCATCTCGGCCCCTCATAGGGCAGCTATTGTCGGTGGCCATGCAGAGCAGGGAGGGCAGATGCAGACCTTTTCCTTTTTTACTTGAAAGAAGTAAATGCTCGCTGTAGAACACTTGTGAGGCTCTGGGACTCTGAGAGCAAAGAGGACACTTGCATCAGGTGCGCCCGCCGTGGCCGCTGGTGCCCTTCACTGTCTCCCAGGCAGATGTGTGCGTGGACCTGCACGGGCTGCTGTGCGCGCCTACGGCTTAATCCTGCCTCTGTCCCTCGTCAGCGTCGTCTCCACAGTGTTTTCCCGTTTACCAGCGGTGGGTGCCATGGCTTTGGGGCATTTCCTTCTCCTCCTGACTGGTTTCTCTCACCCCAGGATCCTGCCATCAGCAGCTCCGGCCCGGCCGGGAGCTACCGACCCTACGATGAGGGTCTGCGGAGGGGGGTTTTCATCACCAACGAGACCGGGCAGCCGCTAATTGGGAAGGTAGAGGGGGGTCTGGTGGGCGAGGAGTGAGAAATCAGGGGTTCTGGCCAGTGGCACAGGAAGCTGTTCAGGCAGAGGGTGTTGTCCAGTGGGACAGAGTGGGGTGGGGGTCACAGCTGGGTGTGACAGTAGCTCTTGACAAGGAACACCACCTTAAATCCTTCCATCAGGGGCCCCTTGGCTTCTCAGGCAGCCAGCCCAGCCCAGGCAGGAGCCTGCAGACCCTCGCAAGGCCTTGGGGCCCTCCTTGTCCTCCCAGCCCCCAGGGGCTTCCTGATGGTTCCCAGGCCTTCCCACGGGGCGCTTGGCAGAGTCCCGACCTCCCTGATCCCTGAACGAAGAGGAAGGGGGTCCCAGCAGGGGAGGCCCCCAGGAGTGCAGACATGCGAGACTCTATTCCAGGCCTCAGGGCCTTTTCTGAAAGTGGGGCCTTGGGTATGTTTTACCCCCGGTCCCTCTCACCCATGTTCCACACCTCCTCAGTCTCCCCAAGGAGGTGAGTGAGGCTGCAGCCCTGCCCGCATCCAAGGCATGCAGGGCCTCAGTGCAGGCTCTGGGGGGCCGAGTCTCCCCTCTCTGGCCTCTCGTCCAGGTGTGGCCCGGGTCCACCGCCTTCCCCGACTTCACCAACCCTGAGGCCCTTGACTGGTGGCAGGACATGGTGGCCGAGTTCCACGCCCAGGTGCCCTTTGACGGCATGTGGATTGTAAGTGTGGCCCCCGCCCCTGGGCATCCCTCATCCTCTGGGGACTGGCCCCACCCTCTGCACTGGGCAGGGGCACCCACCACCGGGGCTTCTCTTGAAGGACATGAATGAGCCATCCAACTTTGTAAAGGGCTCAGTGGACGGTTGCCCCAACAGCGACCTGGAGAACCCGCCCTACGTCCCAGGTGAGCTCTCCCACCTGCCTGTCTCCCTGGCACCAGTCGTCTGGGGATTTAATGGCTCAAATCAGGGATTTCTTTCTCTGGTTTGAGAGACTTAAAGCTGTTGTCTCTGAGGAGCCGGTGGGCGCAGTCAGGCTGGGAAAGGGGAGGGGAACTCTAGGAGTAAGGTTCGGGTGGGGTTGACGCCGGCCACATGACGCAGCCCCAGGCACATGCAGCTGAGGCACGACCTTCAGAGGGAGGGCATTTTGGGCTTAGGCAAATGGACAGGGAAAGACTTGAAATGGGTCAAAAGCAGGTGGGTGTGAAGTCTGAGGTCAGCAAAGGCCAGCCTCCAGCATTGCCCTGTTCCTGTTCTTGGGACAGTGGAGACCGCACGGAGATGTACCCTAAATTCCGAGGGTGCACCAGGCAGAGGAGTGTGCCGGGCCTGACCGGGGGAGTGGGGGGCGGCTTCAGGATGTGCCTCTGAGGGCCAAGCTGGGAGCCCGAGACCCGTGAAGGGCTCCCAGGATGTGGGGGGCACGAGCCCGCTGGGTAGGAGGCTCCACAGAAACAGACCCCCTCTCTTCCAGGGGTGGTTGGCGGGACCCTCCGGGCAGCCACCATCTGTGCCTCCAGCCGCCAGTTCCTCTCCACGCACTACAACCTGCACAACCTGTACGGCCTGACCGAAGCCTTCGCCTCCCACAGGTGAGGGGCCCCACGCAAGGGGCTGCACGGGGCAGGGGCTTCTACCAGGCCCAGGGTGCAGGCAGGAAGGGAGGAAGCCCAGGTCACCTTGAGGGGCCTGCTGGTGACCCAAGTGCTCTTCCCCACTCCATGCCTGGCTGCTCAGAGGAAGGGCCTGTGGTGACTGGACAGGAAGGTCTGAGCTGACCAGGGCCTCTGGCCCCTGTGAGCCTGGAGGGGCGCTCGTCCTCCCTGTAACAGCTCATCTTCTGGGGTGGTCAGGTGGCTCGGGCAGAGCTGACTGCCGAGCAGACCTTGGTGGTGGCCTCACCTCCCTCCTCCCGGCCTTGGCCTAGAGGGCTCCTTGCTCCCAACTCTGCCTCCTGGCTGCACCGCCAGGCGCTCTGGTGGGCCGTAACGGGGTTCCGGGGAGCACCTGCTCCACACAGCTCTCTCTGTCCCCCTGCTCCACCCAGGGCCCTGGTGAAGGCTCGGGGGGTGCGCCCCTTCGTGATCTCCCGCTCAACCTTCGCTGGCCATGGCCACTACGCCGGCCACTGGACAGGGGATGTGTGGAGCAGCTGGGAGCAGCTCTCCTACTCTGTGCCAGGTGAGAGCACCTGCCAGGAGGGGCTGCTCAGAGAAGAGTCTGGGTCCCTCTCAGGGGAGGTTTGCCCAGAGCTGGATGCTGGGCTCAGCATGGCTCAGAAGGATGCTGCTGTAATGGCATGGGAGCCCATCCCCAACTCATGTGGGCATGAGGCCCGCCCCAGCCCCTGTGCACCTGTGCAGGTCGGCTCACCTGCGGCACCCCTCCTCCAGGCGTCCCTATCTCCAATTCGTCCTGGTCACTGCCCGCAAAGCCATCAGATCTCTTCTCTCACAATGTTCCTTCTGGTGACACGTCCTGAGCTGCAGTCTGCAGGGCGCCACCCCACACTCTCATCTCAGTGCCCGGCTCCACCTTGCAAAGAGGAATTTGATTTTGTTCCAAGGGCTCTGATGCCGCTGACATGTATTAGCCTGGAGATGGTTCAGGAGCCCTGGGGATGGGTTAGGGGAGGAAGGAGTCCCAGGGTCACCACGTGGGCAGCCGAGAAGAGCCTCCACCAGAACCGCCAGCCTGGAAGTGCTTTGGCAGTCATAGACTTGCTTCTGAGTGGGACGCATCTGCAGACCCCGGCCACAGAGATGTCCTGCCGAGCTGAGCTCTTGGGAGAGAAGTCTGTCCCTCTTTCCAGAAGGGGCCGGCTGGCTCTGCCCGCAGGTGCTGACCGGCTCTGATTTTCACCCCGGGGCAGGCACAGAGGGCCAGGCCCCAGCACCTGCAGGCCAGTCTCTGAAGTCGGCTCGAGAGCCAGGTTCCTGGCCTTGCGCCACCTCTCGAGTTCTTGGGTTTTAGTTCTGGTGTGAGCTGACTGTTACTTAGCAGAGGTCATGCAGCTCCCAGGGTCTCTTGCAATCCAGACATAGTTCCTCACAGCCCCAGGCTGGGCCCAGCTCTGCCTGTTGGCTCCCATGCCAGGGCTCTGACTCCTGAGGAGACCTGAGGAGAGGGGCAAGCCCAGTGCAGCCTCTGACTGAGCAGTGGGGTCGGCGCAGGGCTGAGATGACCTGGAGCCCATCTGACCTTCAGCAGCTCAGCGGACTTACTGAGCTTGTAAGGAAATACCACACACTGGGTAGCTTAAAACAAGAGAAACTACTTCTCTTACAGTCCTGGAACTAGCAGCCTGAATCACGGTGTCAGCAGGGCCGTGCTCTCTCTGAGACTCTGGGGAGAATCCTCTTGCCTTTTCCAGCTCCTGGTGGTTGACGGCCATCCTTGGCGGTCCTTGGATTGTGGCTGCATCCCTCTAATCTGCCTCTGTCATCCCATGGCCTTCTCCCTGTGTGTCCTTGTCTTCACCAGCGTATTCCTCTTATAAGGTCACTAGTCATATTGGGTTAGGGCCCACCCTAATGACCTCATCTTAACTTGATTATATCTGCAAAGACCCCATTACCAAGTAAGGTCACATTCACAGATACTGGGGGTTAGGACTCAAATATACCTTTTTGGGAACACAGTTCAACCCTAACGGGTCCAGTTTGCTCTGCCCACCCCCAGGTGTTACGCAGCAGTCCACACAGCACATATGGATTGTCGTGCTGACCACAAGTGGGAGACACAAAGGCTAGCACAGTACTGACCGTCGGGTGGGGACGGGTGGGAGGGACATTAGGAGGGATCCTCACCTCTGGCCAGCTCAGCAGACTTGTCTGTCAGGCTCCTTGGCCCTGAACTGGGCCTGCTCTGGCCGCCTGAAGCCCAGTCTGACTCTGCCCTCTAGAAATCTTGCTCTTCAACCTGCTGGGGGTGCCCCTGGTCGGGGCCGACATCTGTGGCTTCCTGGGCAACACCTCGGAGGAGCTGTGCGTGCGCTGGACCCAACTGGGGGCCTTCTACCCCTTCATGCGGAACCACAACGACCTGAACAGCCTGGTAGGGCTGGGGGCAGGGGGAGAGTGGGGGCCAGGCTCCGCCCAGGGAAGTCCCCTTCCTGACAGAGCAGCGTGGCCCGGTTTCCATGCCAACAAGCCAGGTGCTGGGTGGCCGAGAGGGGCCAGGTCTCCCAGGGCAGGGACCACAGGGCTGCGGCCCCAGAGCCCAGCTGCTCCCTCCGCCCCCTCTGCCTCCCGCTGCAGCCTCAGGAGCCGTACAGCTTCAGCGAGACAGCACAGCAAGCCATGAGGAAGGCCTTCGCCCTGCGCTACGTGCTGCTGCCCTACCTCTACACGCTGTTCCACGGGGCCCACACCCGGGGCGAGACTGTGGCCCGGCCCCTCTTCCTGGAGTGAGTGCCCTGGGCCGGGGAGCCATGGCCCATGGGTGCCCTGGGAGGGGGCTGACCACGGGCCCGCTGACTCCAGGCCAGCCCCGTCCTGCTGCAGAGGGTGTTCCCAGGAACCGAGCAAGGGAGCAGGTTGCAGCTGAGTGAGACAAGGTGAAAACCTGGGCCCTCGGTACTGGGGAGCCCCCAGTTCCCACCCCTTAGATTCCAGCTCGGGGGGGGGGGCATTCAAAGTACAGAAAAGCGTGGGATGAAGAGCACTGAGCACAGACCAGGCCCACCAGATGGTAAAGCGAGTTATTAAGACCATCACGATTGACTCCACTGGGGCTGGCCTCGGAACAGGGCGGCAAAGAAACCCAGTAGCTAAGTCCCCAAATAGGACTTAGTCCGCATAAGAAGTGACCATGCGATAAAATGGCATCTCCAGTCAGTGGATTAAAGGATTCTCAAGTAGTAAGGGAATTAGTTAGCTGTTTGCAAAAATCTATTTATTTCCCCCTCACACCGTACAGACAGAAAGTTCCAGATGGGTAAAACAGTTAAATGCAAACATGAAGCTGCAGAAAGTGCCCCAGGAAAACAGAAGTGATGTTCCTCAGTGCTCTGGCAGGAGAGGGCTTTCTCAGCAACTAAAGTGAAAAGCAAAGGGAAGGAGGTTTAATTGAGAAAAAAAAGTAACACTTCTCTGAACATAAACAGAAAAAAGTAAAACTGCAAATAGAGAAGACGCTGTCAACAGACAGTCCCTCTCCCTGATGTGTAAAAAGTTCAGACTGGTTGGTGAAGCCTCTGTTGAGAACTGAAGAGATAAACAGGCAAGAACACAGCTTGCGACCCAGGGAATGTGAAGGGCCTCGTGCCCGAGTGTCGGGCCGGGAGAGGGTTCTGTGCGGCTCCTGTGTGGCTTCAGGCAGCTGGAGCCGGCCCTGCCATGTCCAAGCTAAGTCCTCCAGCTCCTTTCTGAGCCTCCGTGTGGGCCGCTTGAGCACACTGCCCTCAGAGGTCACCAGGCCCACACGCCCGTCCCTCCTCTTTGAAGGTTCCCCGAGGACCCCCGCACCTGGACCGTGGACCGCCAGCTCCTGTGGGGGGAGGCCCTGCTCATCACCCCGGTGCTCGAGGCCGGGAAGGTTGAAGTGACTGGCTACTTCCCTCCCGGCACATGGTACAACCTGCAGACGGTGAGTCCTGGACCCCAAAATCCAGGAGGACTAGGGAGACCAGTGGAGTCCCGCTCTCCTGCCCTGTCGGTGTGGACCAGATGATGAAAAAGAAGCATCTGTGTCAAGTCCGGGCTACATGTGGCCCTCACCTGCTCCATGTGGATCACCGCATCAAGTCCTTGCAGTAACCCATTTTCCAGATGAGGAAACAGAGGCCTGAGTGGGTAGCTTGCCTGTGTCCTGCAGGCCTCAGTGCTACAGAGCTGAGCTGGGACTCCCGTTCTCCCACCCCCCAAGTCCTGCCCCTGCCAGCAGGACCTGGGGCCAGGGCCTCCCACACTCTGTCCTCACTGAGTGGCCGGGTCCCTGCAATGAGCCCTGGGCCTGCAATGTCTCCACTGGGCCTCCTTGTCAAGCCCCCAGCCCCGGGTCACAGCACAGGGGCTTTGGCACTGCCCAGGACTCTTCATGATGTGACCTCTCTCTCCAGGTACCAGTAGAGGCCCTTGGCAGCCTCCCGCCTCCAGCTCCTAGACCCCACACATCTGCCATCCACAGCAGGGGGCAGTGGGTGACACTGCCAGCCCCACTGGACACCATCAACCTCCACCTCCGGGCTGGGCACATCATCCCCCTGCAGGTACCTGGGCCAGGCACCTGAGCCCATTTGTCCAGCTCTGGGGCTGCCAGGACCCCACATTGCCTCTGTTTAATGCGATCCACCCCCAGGACCCCCAGGCAGGGATGATAATGTCTGAGGGTTGAGGAGGAACCCATCCAGGGCGGGATGCTCAGGATACGTCCCGGCACCGACTTGTGGCCTGAGCGGGGCCTGCTTCGTTGGCCCTTTTCAGGAAACAGTCAGTCAGTCAGTCAGTCTGCAAACATCTGTTGGCCTCTTACGTCCTCCAGGATGTCCCCCCACTGCTGTAATGGAGGTGTGGACACCACACTGTGGCCCGGGGGAGGCGCCAGGAACTGAGAAGGGGGAGGGACTCAGGAGAAGCTTCCTGAGTTGGAAGGACACCAAGGGGCTCACCAGGCCGTGAAGGGGAGGGTCGGGCCTTCAAGGATGGAAACAGCACATGCAAAGGCACAGAGCACAGCCTGGCAGGACACGTTGGAGGCTCAACCAGATGGACACCACACATGTCCAGGCCACTCGGCCATAGGCCGTCCTGCAGATCCTGGTTTCTTGCAGCACAGGGCTGTCCCAGCCCAGCATTCCCCAGGCCTGCGACAGTGATGTGTGCCACCCCCTTTGCAGGGCCCCGGCCTCACAACCACAGAGTCCCGAAAGCAGCCCATGGGCCTGGTCGTGGCCCTGACCTCGAGTGGGGAGGCCCAGGGGGAGCTGTTCTGGGACGACGGAGAGAGCCTGGGAGTGCTGCAGCGCGGGGCCTACACACACATCATCTTCCTGGCCAGGAACGTGAGTCCTGGGACCTGCCCAGGCTGGTGGGAGACCGTGGGGGCCGTCTTGGGGGTGACTGCCCTGATCTGGTGTCCCTGGGTCAACCCGAGTGGAGGCCATCTCTGCCCTACAGGAGAGAAGGGCCTGTTGGCCAAGTGCCCTGGCCGGAATCCCTGTGCACTCTGCCAGCGTCCTGGAGTTTGCAGAGGGGCGTGGTGCCGACCTGCCCTGTCCTGTCTGCTGCCCAGACCTTCCCCGGGTGGGGCTTCCTGCCCCGGCCGTCTGCTCACACCTCCGGTTGTCTCTCTCTGCTCGGGCCAGAACACCATCGTGAACGAGCTGCTGCATGTGACCAGTGAGGGGGCCAGCCTGCAGCTAAAGAGGGTGATCGTCCTAGGGGTGGCTGCGGCCCCCCAGCAGGTCCTCTCCAATGGTGTTCCTGTCTCCAACTTCACCTACAACCCCGACACCAAGGTAAGAGAGCCCACAGATGGGGCCAGGGGGCTTGTCCCCCAGGATGGGCGAGGGGGCGGGAGGTGCCGAGGATCCTGGTGACTCAGTGCCTGCCGAGCTGGTATCATGGGACTTGCTGTCTGGCAACCAGAGGAAGCTGGGGGCTTAGAAGGGGCGGAGAGGAACTTGATCCTTGATCCTTGGGGGAAGGAGTGGGAAGATTCCGCCCCCATGTGCCCCATCTCTTTCCTCTGCCCGTAACTACATTGATGGCGACTCACAGGCCATGTTTAAACAGCATCTTGTTTTCAAAGCTAATTAAGGCAGCCAATGCTGAGAGCACTTGTCCTCCCAAATCAGCGGGGGAGGGATCAGAGCAAGAAGCCTCCCAGGGCCAGACAGGCCCCGTGTCCACCATCCGTTCATGTCCAGACTTCTGTCTGCCGAGCACTTGGGGTCTCACCTCTGTTGGCGATTGTTTGGTGGCCAATTTTTCTTTCTTTTTTTCCCCAGATCCTAGATATCCCTGTCTCGCTGACAATGGGAGAGCAGTTTCTCATCAGTTGGTCGTAACCAGGGGCTGGTGGTGTGTTGACCCTTTACAGAATGATTTCCCAGAAGCCCCAGCACCTGTGTACTCTTAGTCAAGGCAGGTGGGCCTTGGGGTCAGAAGCGCTTACCCCATGTTGCATGGCCACAACTTCCCTAACACCCAGATTTGCTTATGTGTCTACCTCCTGGGCTCTGGGGCTCTGGGCCAGCAGCCAGCCTTTGACAGCTTTTCTCCCCAGAGCCCACAGTCGGGCCAGTGCCCTGAGGGTTGCCCTGTTAGGAAAGTGATACTGATGGTTTGCCTCTCTGTCGTCCGTCACTACCTGTGAAGGCAGAGAAGGAGGTGCTTGGGATGGGGATGATGTGCCTGCACCCCGAGGTCACACCACGGGAGGCTCTGCTGCTGCTCTAACTGGATGAAAGGACGGAGTGGGGTGGCCATCACAGGCTGCTTTCTGGGCAGCTGCCTGCCGACTACAGGTCGGGGCTGTCTGCCAGTCTGACAAGAGTGGGCCCCGGGGAATTCGGAATTCACAGGACTTGGGGAAACTCTTAATCTTAAGTGCAATTAGTTTTAATAAAAGGGGTATTTGCAATCAAGCTTCTGCTGGTCCTTCTAGGATTCAGGGTAGGGAGGAGGTGTCCAAAGGCCATGACATGGGGCTGCCACTCCACCCTTGATGGGCCCCTGGATGTTCCCAGGGCGGGTGAGTGCCACACTGTGCACTCTCAAAGCAGCAGCCTCACATCTCATCACCTCACGTCCCAGCATCACCTCACATCCCAGCGTCACCCATCCCTGAGGAGACAAGAGAACGTCCAGCTAGGCCTGGTGACAGAGAGGCATATGGTAGGAGATATGCCCCCCTCCCCTCTGGGGCTGTGTGGACAGAGCTGCCTCCCTGCCACACCTCTGTCCCCCAGGGAACCACCACTTGGCAAACACTGGTCTGCTTTTGGTCAGTATAGTTTACATTTTCTAAAATTGTATATAAATGGAATCATACAGCATGTTTTCTTTTTTTGTCTAATATTACCTGACCTAATTATTTTGAGATTCATCCATGCTGGGTGTATAGCAACACCTTGTTCTTTTTCATTGCTAGTTTTCCATTGTATGGATATTCCACAATTTGTTTATCCACTTGTAATGGACATTAGGATTGTTTTCAATTTTGGCTCTTATGAATAAAGCTGCAGTCAGTAATCATGGACAAGTCTTTGAATGGACATGTTTTCATTTCTCTCGAGCAAATACCAAGGGTGATATGGTCAGGTCATATCAGGGTGTGTGAATAACATTTTAAGAAACTGCCAAACTGTTTTCCAAAGTGGTTGTACCATTTTGCATTCCTACCAGCAGTATGAGAATTGCAATTACTCCACATCCTCACCATCACTTGGCGTGATCTGTCTTTTCAATGTCAGCCATTCTAGTGAGTGTGGATCTCACTGTGGTTCTGATTTTCATGTCTCTAATGACTAATGATGTTGAGCATCTTTTCCTGGACTTATGTCACCCAAAAATCTTCTTTCGTGAAGTGTCTGTTCAAATCTTTTGCCCATTTTTCACTTGGATTGTTTATCTTATTATCGAGTTATAAAATACATTGGTTTTCTATTGCTACTGTAACAAATTACCAAACTCAGTGGCTTAAATCCCTCAGGTCACTCTCTGACCCACTGTAGCCAAGAACATTCTTGACTTTTAAGGGCTCATGTGATTAGTCCGGGTCCACCTGGATAATCCAGGATCATCTCATCTCAAAATCTTTAACTTAATTACATCTGCAAAGTGCCTCTTGTAATTTAATGTGACAGAGTCACAGGTTCCAGGGATTAGGATGTGGGTATCTTGGAGAACCACTGTTTTTCCTACCACACAAAAGATCTTTATATGTTCTAGTTGTTAAGTCCATGTCAGGTATGTGCTTCGCAAATGTTTTCTCCCAGTCTGTGGTTTGCCTTTTTACTTTCAGAACAATGTCTTTCGAAGAGTAAAAGTTTTTAATTTTGATGAGGCCAATTTATAATTATGTCCTTTTCAATAACTCTTTGCCAAATCCAAAGTCACTAAGACTTCTCTTGTTTTCTTCTAGAAGTTCTATAATTTTAGGTCTTATATTTCAATGGCCAACCCTCTTTTTCTTTTTTGCATAGGGCTATCCAATTGTCCTGGCACCATTTGTTAAAAATATTCTTCTTTCCCCAATGAATTGCCTCTGTACCTTTGTTGAAAATCCTTTCACCATAAATCTGTGGTCTATTTCTGGACTTTCTATTGTGTTCCAGGGATTTGTAAATGTCTATTTTTATGCCAATACCACACTGTCCTTATTACTGTAGCTTTGTAGTATTTCTTGATATCAGGGAGTAAAAGTCCTCCAACTTCGTTCACTTTTTCAAAGTTGTCTTGGCTATGCTAGGTCCTTGTATTTCCATATAAATTTTAGAATCAGCTTGTCAATTTTTATAGAAAAAAAGTATCAGTATTTTGATTTGGATTGTGTTGAATCTATAGATCAACTTGGGGAGACATGACGTCTCAACAATATTGACTCTTCTAGGCCATTAAGACAGCATCTCTCTCATTTACTGACGTCTTTCTCACAGCAGTTTTGTGATTTTCAATGCACAGAGCTTGCACATCTTTTGTCAGTTGTAGCCCCAAGTATTTCACCTATTCAATGATATTGTAAAGTGTTTTAAAATCTCCCTTTCCGAATGGTCACTGCTAGATATGGGACTGCAGGTGCTCTCAATACTGACCTTGGATACTGCCACCTCTCCTACCCTCCCTTAGTTCTAGTAGCTCTGTGGTCGATTCCTTAGGATCTTATCTGTATCATCTGTGAGTAAAGATGTCTTCCCTTCCAAACTGGATGCCTTCTATTCCCTGTTCTTGCCTTATTTCCCTGGCCAAATGCACAGAATAATGTTGATGGAAGTGATGAGGACAGCGTGCCTTGATCCTGAGGGTTACTGAAAGCTCCAATTCCAATTGTGGATTTGTCTACTTCTCCCTGCAGTTTTATCAATTGTTGCTTCCTGTTATGTCCTGAATTCTGAAGCTCTGTTATTAGATGCGTAGACATTTAGGACTGTTACATCGTTTTGATGAATTACCCTTCATTGCTATGAAATGATGCTCTTTGCCCCTGGTAACATTCTTTGCTGTGAAATCTATCTTGTCCAAAGTTGACACAGCGGTTCCAGGTTCGTTTTGGTCAGTGTGTTACCATGGTATATTTTTCTCCATCTTTTTACTTTTCACTTATTTGTGCCTTTGTATTTCTTGTAAGCAGTGCATAGCTGTGTCTTGTTTTATAATCCAATCTAACAATTGGTTTTTTAATTTTGGTTTTTAGACAATTTACTTTTTCCCCCTTGTTCACATATTTTGTTTTTTGTTTTGTTTGTTCTTTTTTTTTATTGATGTTTTAATGGTTTTTAACATTGTGAAATTTTGGGTTGTACATTTTTGTTTGTCCATCACCATATATATAACTCCCTTAACCCCTTGTGCCCACCCCCCACCCCCACTGCCCCTGGTAACCACAGTAGTTTTCTCTGTCCATGTGTTGGTTTATATTCCACATATGAGTGAGATCATACAGTGTTTGTCTTTCTCTTTCTGGCTTATTTCACTTAA